AGTAAGACAAATTACCCCCCATATCAACCCAAGCTACTCAGGACATACAATGACACATCCTGCCGGGTTCAAAAATATTCCCAACCAATCACAATCAAAAGCCCACCTATCTGCCCTACAGATTATATTTCAACTCTCTCACCTTAGAGCAAACTCCCTACATTGCCAGAGGTTTCCCTTCCCTTTCAAGTGCAGGTCTGGGCTATAGAACTTGAGCTTGTTAGGCAGGTTCTCTGCCACTGAGCCATAGCTTCAGCCTGCCTTTTCTTTGTTTGAAAGTCCTAACCTAGGTGTGTCTTGGGGCCAACAAGCTCCAGAATCCTGATCACTACTTCTGGGGCATCCATGGGAAACCCTCAGTGCTGTGATTTTGGAGTTCTTGGTATGGTCAAGATGATGAGAGGACACACACACAAGTCCTCAGTCATGTAAAGCAAACCTGGCACCACGTATGTTGTGCTGTCTTATGACTGTACAGCCTTAAGGAGAAGGCAAAAGCTACAGACTGTGACTGTGCCCCAGTAGGGGATTCTTGTGTGTAGATATTTGATTATTAGCTGCAGGGCATTTTAAAAATAAAGATAAGGGATAGGGAAATGGCATTAGGTACAAACAGCTGAGATGTCTATTTATCATATCAATGTGGACCTGGCCACCAGGTTCTCCCAGCATCCCTCAGTTCCCGCATGTTACAGGGTTTGACTGGCATAGCCCACCCCCTATCCTAAACTCCAGCCCAGGAGTTGGGCTACTCTTTCCCCAGCTGCCCTCCCTATATAACCCAGCCATTTTGGTTACTTGGTCCTTTTGGTCTACTCTTTTCCTTCCTGAGGTCTGGCTCTCTCCTCTCCCCTCCCTACAATAAACTTTCTTTTCCACCATACCTAAGAACAATCATGTCCTTCCTTTTTTTATTTCTTCTTTTTTTTCCCAATTAGATGCCTCGGTGGGTAATAATGCTTATTTGCCAGCATGAGTAACTGAGTTCAAATCCTACACACCCATCAAAATGATATGCTTTGGGTTCAATGAGAGACACTGTCTAAGACAATAAGGTAGAAAGCCGTGGAGGAAGACATGTGATGTCCTGCTCTGGCTTGTGGGTGAGCACTCTTTTGTGAGTAGAATGTCACATTCACATGTGTGCACCATATCATACATATCACACACAAAGATAAGAAAATCAGGTAGGATATTATACCTGGAATAAAGTGCTTGGAAGGCTGAGGCAGAAGGGTCATAAGTTCTGACCATCCTACATGAACAGGGAGAGTCTGCTTCAAACAACTAACAGCAGGAGACGTGGCAATGTACTTGCCTCTGATGAGCAAGGCCCTGTGTTCAGTCCCCGTAACTGGAAACAGAATGGACTTAGAGAGATATTGGTGGAGCATTCTAAAATATCAGAATCACAGGGTGGAAATACCTGGGACTAGAACTCTGTGAAGAGGCTCTGTCAAGGTGTCTATTCTAAAAAGGACCCATTTGGCACACATGTAAACTCATTTGGACCCCATTCTCTATTTCTGAAGGCAAAACCAAGCATAGGTTCTTCCCTCTGGTAAAGTAACTTCACCATTATAACTGGGAGCTCCAGACCCAGTGTGGAGGGAGGAAGAGTCCCAGACCAAGGGAGCAAAAATCATAGTCTCATTGTCAGAAGGACAAGAGAAAGGAGAGAAGGTCCCTACAAGAACTGAAAACCGACAAGTGCTGGAATGGGTCCCCTAATCAAGAAGAACGATCCCACCTGGCAGTGCTAGCAGATTTGTGGGTCACAGCACGGACTGAAGGCATGCCCTGTTTGAACCGCAGCAAGTCCCTTAAAGGAGCCTGGGTTGGGTATGGAGACATTGAGCAGGGTCCCAACATCCAGGGACTAACCTGACTTCCCACAGGTAACTCCTCAAGCTTCTCAAGTTAGCACCTAAAACCATTTTAGGTCAGATATTATTCTTCATGTTCTCCTTTATATCTCTGTTATAATTCAAAGCCTACAGGATTTATCCAGTCTGGTGAGCAAAGAGAAATGGTGTTGCTGTGTAGAGGCTATTCTTAGAAGGCCCAGGTTCAACACAACAAGGGATGCTGTCCCAGGAGCTTATGCAAACCCAAACACTGTGAAATGTATTTGTAAAATATAGTCCTGGATTTGCCAGATCTGCAACTGTGAAAGTCAAGAAAGGGATTATAAACCAAAACATGACAGGTAGGAATTCTGTTTCATTATGTTTAATGTTCTCTTTTATTGCTGTGAAGAGACACCATGACCAAAGCAAATATATATATATATATATATATATATATATATATATATATATATGTATATATGATTTCTATCTATCTAGCATCTATCTGTGTATCTATCTCTCTCTCTAAAAACTCAAAACCCATTCCCACTGACACACTCCAACAAGGTCACACCTCTTAATCCTCCTAATCCTTTCAAATAGTGTCATGCCCTGGTGACTAAGCATTCAAAAATATGAGCCTACGGGGGCCATTCTTATTCAAATCACCACAGTGATACAGCTCTCCCCATAGCAAGCCAAACTCCCATCACAAAATGATCTATGCTATCCTAGACTCCAAAAGCAAGACTCCTGAACTTCAGTCCTTGCTTCTGTAAGGATCCTCAAAGCTTAAGTAGTTCCTTGAAAAATAAAAAGTTAAAATAATTTAAACAATAAAATGATCAGGTCAGAGAAACTTGAAAGGGGCATAATTGAGAAAAAAAAGGGGGGAGGGAGGGTTTCATATAGAAACGAGCATTTATACTCTTAATAAATTAAAAAGTCATGCTGAAGCCCCACTTGCCTGCCCCCCAAAGGGAACACCAGAGGTCTGAGCAGTTAAGAGCACCTGATGCTTTTGCAAAGGATCCAAGTTCAATTCCTAGCACCCTTGTTTAGCAGCTCACAACTGCCAGTAACTCCACCTCCAGGGGGATCTGACACCTGTGACATCTGCAGGCACCTGCACTCATGTGCACACAACCACATATACATAAACAATAGGAAAAATAAGGGTTTTTTTGTTTTTGAAACTCAATACTGAATGTCTCAACTTATATTTTAACAACTGAAATTAAATGCAAATTCATTAGGGCTGACTTGCCTCAGTTGCTCATGCAGGCAACCCTCTTCTAAGAACTATACTGAAACCTTATCATGACACAGGTTTAATTTTAGTAGCTTTTATTTTTAACAACTATTTAAAATTCACATCAAAATAGCAAACGGACTGTTTCAGAGACACCTCGAACATTTCAAAGGACACATAACTGAGGCTTCCAAAGGTGGAATACACCTTTATTTGGCTGAAATTCTGAAAGAACTCTTAGTTTTGTTTTATTTTGTTTCCAGACTATCTTTTTTTGTTTTGTTTTAATATTTTTTACTCCTGATTTATCTTTGAAAACCCATTACTTAGGCATTAAAACAAAAACAAACAAACAAAACCTGGTTCTCATGTGTCTTATAAAAACTAAAAGGTGTTTGGTGTACTGTGTTTATTCGTTTGGGGTAGAAAGACCACATGCCATAAATTAGGTAGCTTATAAAGAAAAGATACTTGTTTCTCATAGTCCTATCAGTCAGGATGTCCAAGGTCAAGGAGCTAGCAAATTTGAAATCTGGTAAAGGTCTTTTCTTGGTTCACCGCACTGTGTGTGTCCTCATGTGTTAGGAGGGGCAGAGTTCCCACAGAAGATTTTACACCTCATCCATGGGACTCTATCCTTGTGACTCACTGGCTTCCCCTAAAGCTCCATTTCCTAATGGTATCACCTTTCGAGTTAGGATTTCAAGGAGACACAAGCATTCAGACTGAAGCAAACGAGGTTCTAAGAGGGTGGAAGGAAGGCCGCATGCCTCCAGCCCCCTTCCAGATCTTCCTCTTCCGGTTCCCCCAGAATGCCTAAGCATTTCGTAACCACTCCTACAGATGAACTTGAAGTCTAGCTCGGTGGCACTCTCTGTGGCATCTATTTACTCAAAGCAGTTCTCTCAGAAAAATGCTTGCAGAACATCTTGTTTCTGATCTATATTATTAAGAATTGTTGGGAGGGGCAATAGGAAGAGGGGATGGTTAAAACTGCAGAAATTAGCACCTCTCGAAAATTCATCTTAGAAAGTTAAGCTTATTTAAAATGAGACCTGAACTCTTCAGGTATTTATACTCTTTTCCTGGGCTTGAAGGGACTTGATGTCATCCAAGCCTAAAACAACAACAATAACAACAACAACAAAAAAATGAAACACAAAAATCAGATTTATCAAAACGAGACAATCAGGTTGCTGATCTTTTCCCAGTTGGTTTATTTATCATTATTTCCCTAAATAATCAACTCTCTGGCTCATGGAAGACAGTTTTGTTACACTTGTTTCAAGACAGGGTTTCTCTGTGGCTTTGGAGACTGTCCTGGAACTAGCTCTTGTAGACCAGGCTGGTCTCGAACTCACAGAGATCTGCCTGCTTCTGCCTCCCAAGTGCTGGGATTAAAGGCGTGCGCCACCAACGCCCGGCTTAATATATTTTTGTAATGAGTCTCTCTGTCCCACCAGCCATCTCCCAAATAATGACACAAGTACGATGTTAATTATGAAAGCTCAGCCTATAGCTTAGACTGGTTCCTAACTAGCTCTTATAACTTAAATTAACCCATTTCTGTTAATCTATGTTTTACCATGTGGCTTTTTACCTTTCATTCTGTCTGCCGGACTCCCTCCATGTTTCATTGGCGTCTCCCTGAGCCTTGATTATCTCCTCCTCCTTCCACTCTGCCAGAAGTCCTGCCTATACCTCCTGCCTACCTACTGACCCGACAACTCTTTATTGAACCAATCACAGTAATATATCTACACACAGTGTACAAATATCCCACAACATATTTTCATTACAATTTTTAAAAATGCTTTCCAAACGGAAAAGCCCCTGATATACTTCTACTATGTTTCCCAGTTTTCACGCTCAAACACAAATTCTCCAGATGACAAGTGTGAATGAGAGCCCCAAACTGAATTTAATCAACAATTCTTACCTTGGGCACAAAAGACTGAGTATAAGGTTTGATTTAATGGGGGGGGGGGCTAGGCACAAGTAACTCAACCCGGACAACAAAGAATGCTGTTCGTTTCTCCAGGGATGTGTCAGTGTCTTGATGACTGAGCCCTTCATCCTTCTTCAGTTTTCATGAATGTTCCCTGTGAAATTTGAAGATCATATCTACATGTGGTATTGAGAAAAAGGTGAATAATAGACACAGCCAAGGAGAGGAACATGAACTATCCTACCCTTAGACCCAGCTCAGTCTCCCAATTGCCTGTTCTCTGGGCCCCTGCCCCTACATACCTGGTTCAGAATACAACAAAGCATTTGACCTCTTTATATAATAGCATGCAATGACAGTCAGAGCATCTACCTCCCAGTACTATGTGTGCAGTTACTGAAGTCCTTGGTTCATGGCAAATGTGCCCAAACCTACTGGATGTCATTGAATGGGAGGGTTAAGCACGTTCCAATCTGCTGTTCTGTAGAGCAATTGTTGAGCATGCAAGGGTGTCAAGTTTGGAATTAGGTGATGTGTGGGTCTTCTGAATTTCCCATTCCCACAAAACTCAAGTCTACTGTACACATCTCAGTCTTAAAGGGCATATAATTTCCTAACAAGCAACTTCCTATAGCATTCCAGGCACTGGGCACCACTGGGGTTAAAGTGGTTTGGAACAGAGCATGGGCTCTATGTTTTCAGAGCCCCCCAGGTGATCATACAGATCTTTGAGACTGTAGGTCTGGGAATTTGCTTACACCTGTGTGATCTGTTGGATGCTGACAGGGGCTTTTTCCAGGATGAAGGCAGATCAGTCACCTACAAGTCACCAAATGACAAGTCCCTTGGATGCTGGTGCCCAAATCTATATGGAAAACACTGACTGAAGGAAGTTGGGCTCTGTCGTATAGGGTTGCTTTGCTTTGGGCTGTGGTGGTAACAGATGTAACAGATCCTCTAGGACAGGTGACATTAAAACCTATGGCCACAACTGTCTCATGAGCTGGGGCTACAGGTGACACCAGGATCGGAAAACAGCACTTTAAACCATCAATTTAACCTTTCTCTTTTCTTGTCATACTTTCTCGTTGTTGTTCTTGAGTTTTCCAAAAGGCAGGAGGCTACAATTTTCCCTGTCTGAGGAATTTCTGACTTGAGTTCCTTGATTACCATCTACTTAGAAGCATGACGGTGAGGCTACCACCTGCTCCCTCCCACTAAGGGTTAGCTCCAGATAAAATCTAGAAGCAGATGGGGAGACTGTAAGCATTCAGTGGGCCAGAGCTGGTGCATGTAGTAAGCACCCACACTCCACCCCCAATGCAAAGAAAATGAGGGCCTGACACTGCTCTCACTCAGTGGGACTGAGACCATCAGAGAAAACCTTTGGATCCCACCCCCACAGTCATGACACTAGACTTGGGCATCAGCTCACTAAGGGCCAGATCATAGGAATAATCATCTCTTCAAGAGAACTTGGGGTACCTGTGGAGTTTGGAGGGGTCATGGGATTTTCCTGTTTGTTCATGGGGGGGGGGCTGTGTTTATTTGGTAGGGAATTTTCTCATTTTTAAATCCACCTATAGATAATCCACCTATGCCCCAAGTCCCATGTCCTGACACATCGGAATAAAATACATTGATGCCTCTACCCACCTCCTTTCCATTCCATGTCTACCAAGACAGACAATGGGACTCCATGTTTGGGTTCAAATTTTCTTAGTATTTAGGTGACTAAGGATCTTTTTAATTTTTCTTGGAGGCTGAGACCACAAGGGAGCCAGGACAGGGAAAGCTGAGCACTGTGAAGGCCTGCTGTCGGGGGGGGGGGGGGGGGGGGGCGGGGGGAAGCCACGCATGAGCTCACCTGACCTAGGGAAGGCAGAGCAGAGACACATAGCAGAAACCGAAGGGGCTCTGATGTGTAACAAGGAGTCGCCCACTCTGGAATTCACCCACTCTGGGTGATTTCCCCAACCACAGGGTTAGCTCCAGCTCTCCTCTCACATGTCCTTGACCTTGCTTCTCCCCAAGTCTACTGGGTCACTCCTAAGAAATGCCCAGTTACCTTCAGAGTTGACTAGTCTTCTTTGGATTTGTTTCTTTCAACCCGGAGACCCCTCCCTAGTTCCATCCTTTGGGATCCTTGACATACTAGGGATCCAGGACTCAAAACGTAACATTAATCAAAGGAAGAAAGGGCACTTCTGGGAAAGGCCTATGTACGTCTTCCAGACCTTACGTGGGGACTCATGATATGAAAGAAACCCATTTTCTAAGACTGAATTGGCAATGGGGGTGGGAGTCTATTTTACTTCCTTCCTAGCCCCCTCACATCAGTGTCTAGAAATCAGCTTTATGAAACTTGACTTTACCCACATAGAAACTCAGTGTAATTTGCCATTTGGTGACTACGTGTGCTATGTTCCGTGTAATAGCCTAATGAACGCGTAGAGACTCTTGCAAGGAGAGATTAAGTTACCTAGAATCTACCCTTTAATCTACCAAGCAGAACGTTCTAAAGAAAAGCCCACAGAATAGGCAATTATCAAGATATCCTCCTTCTTTCATGCTGAAGGCAGAGAGCCCTGCCAGCTCCCTGCCACCCCCGCACTCTGGGCCAGGGTGAAGTATAAATGACCCTTGAGCCTGACAGGGGAAATCTAGCATGTCATCCCACTCTCCTTCATTGCGTAAAAAGGCCTGCTCCCTTCTGATGGCTAGAAGACATAACACGATTACTCCTAGGGGAAACCTTCAAAGGCAGCCCCCTCCCATCAGGGTACCAAAGGGCTGCCATTTACACATGCACCTACTCCTCATCATTCTTTGGTCATACTCTAGCTTTGGAAAGGCAACAGAATACAGCAATTCAGTATCATAGAGTCCTATCAATCATACTCTTGGCCCTGCCACTGACTAACTAGCCATGTCACTTTGAGCAGGTATCTGGCTCTCTGTACCTCAGTCTCCCTACCTTCAAAAACAGAACTTAGTAGAAACACCCTTCTCGTAGGGCTGTAAAAATTAAACATTAATTTAGCTCATGGCCAGTTCTTGACCCTATGTAGGAAATACATAAAGAAGAGTGAAAAGTCAGTATGATAGCAGAAACCAAGTTCCCCAGCCTCACCCCCACCCCCAGAAATCCAACTTGCAACCATCTACAAGCAAACATGTCACTTTTGAAGAAAACAATTGTTAATTGTAGCATTGGTTAAGGAGGAAAACTACGGGAATACCTAAGAAATGATGACCCACCACCCTATGGACAAGTACCTTATCACATATCAGCATTCACATAGAACTATACTTGCTAACAACTACTCTGGGGGGGTCAAAAGATGTAAGAACAAAGGATGAGTGTGAGAGCAGGGGCCCTTGCTCAGGATCCCTGCCCAGTGTGTGTGATTTGGTTTCCTTGTACTGAGCAAATGCTGACTTTCCATTTCCTTCTACTATAAAAGACTGATTTTAAACAGTAATAATACATTGTTTCTGCTTTGGAAAGAAATGCTAAAGGCTTTGTGTTAGAAGAACAGGGCGAGGCAATGGAGACTCACAGATGAATGGAAGGTTCTCTGTTTGAGTCAGGAAATAGTACTCCAGGTGGCATGTAGAGGACCCAAAGCAGGACAGGAGCTGAAAAGAATCCTCTACATAAAGAGGGAGGGGGTGTGGGACACGGAAATGTGACAACTGGCAGGTCCCTGCTATCCTGTTCCACTGAGATGGGCTGGATTGGGGGGGTTGGGAGTTCTCAGAGCTCCTCACCACCTCCTCCACATTTCCTAGGAATTTCAGTGACAGCAGGAGACAGGCAGAAACTGTTTTTAGCAAACCACAATAACGAGCTGTACTTAAGCTGCTGACTTACATGAGATAGTAGTTAAAAATATCTCTGTCCATGCTGTGGGAATGTCTTCATTGGGCAGCTTGGTCTTGAACAGATATAATTTGTCTCAGGGATAAAATCTTCCTATAATAAAACACATCCAGCAATTACATTATCCGGGATGCAATAAAGGTTGGTAATACCCAGACAGGTGGCTTTCAGTGTGAAGAGGTTTGTGTATCCCCTATGTGCCATACAAATGGGGTCTCGTGTGTGTGTGTGTGTGTGTGTGTGTGTGTGTGTGTGTGCGCGCACACGCTTCCTACTCTCCATCTTAAGGGGATTTGTTACCTTTAGGTTAGGAAATAAGACTAAGTCAAAGCTCTTCAGAGAGGAAGAAAGAAACTGACTACTCCCATGGGTACCATGACCAATACCCACTTAACAAATGTCATCCTGCCAGCCTAGTATAAGCTGTGTGGCACGATCAGCTCCAGAGACTCTGGGCCCTTTTGATGCTCCACTGGAATGCCTTTAAATTCAGGTCAAGACCTGCAAGCCTTATTTCTGCAGGAAACATCAAGTGCTGGGCATATCTGTCTGCCTTAGGTCAGAAATCCCCCTAAGACTACAGAAAACAACAAGCACCAAAACACCTAATTAAATATCGATGCCATTTCTTCCAGATGTGGCCCTACATGGGCCCTCACATAAATGTGTTCTTCTCTGTGTTGGGACCACTGTGAACAGAGAGAGAGAGAGCACGGGTGGTTCGTTGGAGCACTCCCAGGACCGCTCTGCCTGATGACTGCTGTGCCGAACCAACTGCTCACATTAATCTCCTCTGGGTCCCTTCCTCTGGAAGCCTGCCCTGACTCCCAACCATGCAGATACCTGCCAGGTCAGGCTCAGGACAACATGTTCTCTCCTGGGTCAGTGTCACAGTTTCACGTGGTTTCTATGGTTACTTCACTGATGTCTGCTTCCCTCACTGGACTTCGAACTCCAGTTCCTACATTTACCAGCAAGGATCTAGTTTCGACAGAACCCCTAACCTTTGGGTGGGCTCTGTGGGATGTCAGGAGGCTGCATACACTCTCATGGATCTTCTCCCACGTAGACTGAGAATGAGGCTGGAACCTGCCCAACAGAGTAAATGGAGTGGAGCATTATGCAGCTACTAAAAAGGATGCTAACTTAGAGCACTTAAATATGAGTTGAAACTTAACCGTAAGCTAAAATGTCAGTATGCAAAAATGGTACACCTATGATTTTAATGCTGGCATCAAACCTACATGTGAGGATCGTGGGGATACAAACCACCAACATGGTTAAAACGTGCTGTGCTTGGTGTCTGCCTATGAGCAGTTCTTCTTTGGACTCTGCTGGGTTTCAGGAAATTCGCTAATGAAAAAAATCCTGATTTTCAACCCCAAATTATATTTGAAAATCTTAATCTCAATTGTTTTCTGCCATAAAGGCTTTACTTCAGTTTAAGCCACTCGGAGCCCAAACTGAAGCACAAGCTGGATGATGTCTTCTAGCTTCCCACACACTGCGCTTTCTCTCTTCCACAGACCCCTCTGTGCAGAAAATCTGCAGCCTTCCCACCCGAGTCCCTGCTTTCATTAACTCCCAACCACTCCCCTGGGATGAACTCCATTGCTGATTTCTCCAGCAAATCCCACTGGTGTGCACCACCACAACCGGTTCCATTGCTGATTTCTCAGGAGACCTGCCCCACCCCGCAGAGGCCAGCTGATCCATATGTTGTTCAGTTCACAAGGCTTCTGACAGTGGACACTGGACACTGTCCCCCCCCCAGCCCCGTCTGGTTAATGTGTTCCCTAGACTGAGACCCAGGCGGAGACTTGGTTTAATATTTCATCCCAGACTTAGTGTGGTGTCACATGCCTGTAATCCTAGCCCCGAGGACACTGAGGTGGAAGGATCATGAGTTTGAGGGTAGCCTGGGCTATACAGCAGAACCCTGTCACAAAAGGCCAAAAGTAGAACTCACCTCAGATCACAGTAGGTATTGAATACCACAGTGTGGTTTAAAGAGTATTGTTTGAGGCACTGGAGGGCGACTTGGTAGTTCAGAGTATTTGTTGCTCCTACTGAGGACCCAGGTTCAGTTCCAACACTCACATCCTCTGCCCCACAACCACCTTCAACTCCAGTGCCAGGACATCCCCTTCTGGTCCCCATGGGAACATGCACACACATGATGCACAGATACACACTCAGGCCCACAAAATAAAGCTTTCAAAAACAATACTGTTTGAGTAGTGAATGTGTTCATACTGTGGTGAGTACCAAGTCCGAAACTCTGAGATATTGCTAAACTAAAGGTGTACACAGAAATTTGATGATGTAAAGTGCAGATGTTGTTTCTTTAAAATATTCAAAGAATTTTAGCAATTTGGGTAAAATCATTCTGTTAATATGTGAGAAACACTATTTGAGATGTTGACAAGGATTGCCATCAAGAATATATAGAAACTGATCTTTAGCCGACTATGGAAGTCTGGAGTGGTTGTTAGGGCCACTATTCCAATGACCCTATGGCTCCTCCTGTCTGTAGTTTGTGCCCATTGATCTCCCATCACACCCTTCTCTGGAGCAAGGACATAAGGCCCAGAGTAGGGCTGAGTCCACCCATCTATTACCAACTCAGAGAAACAATGGGCAGCAAACGTCTGAACCCTCAATGCACTGCTGTGTTTCAGAAAACATGATATACATAATTTCTGCTCTCCTTAAGAATCTTACGAGAAATACAGCAAGCATTTCTTTAAAAGACTTTAAAAATAGCCACCAGCTGGACACATCAGATACTATAGTACAGATACTATACTATAGAGTTGTCTCATCCCAGCATTCGCTGGGATTCTCTTCTCCTCAAATACGAGAAGAGTGAGATTGTATGGTGAGGCAGGCAACATGCTGTGGATGGGGGAGATCTTGGGTGGGGGCTGTCCCTCTTTCCTTTGGGACTACATTCTTCACTCTGGTATTCAAAAGGTTTTGTACATTTTCCATTAAAATCTTTGGCGAAAGCCTAAAATTAAGTCTGCCGTATGACCCAGCAATACCATTCCCGGGCATAGGCTCAAAGGACTCGGCAACCTACTCCACAGACACTCACTCACCAATGTTTATTTCCACCCTCTTTGCAATAGCTAGGAAATGAGAGAAACCTGCATATCCTTTAACGGATGGATGGATGGATAGGGGCAGCGTACTACACATACACTATGGAATACTAGTCAGTTATAAACAACAATGAAATCGTGACATTTTCAGGTAAGTGGATGGAACTAGAAAAGATTATACTGAATGAGGTAACCTGGACCCAGAAAAACAAATGTCACATGTTCTCTCTTATCAGAGGCTCCTGGTCCCAAATCTCCAGATGTGAGTAGATACACAACATGAGTAACCACAGAAACCAGCAAACGACAATGTACTGTGGGAGGCAGGGGGAACTGAGAGAAGAATAAGATACAAGGGGAAAAGAGAAAAGTGGGAAGGAGGGAAGATACACAACATCGAGGTTGTCTGGTACAGCCTCGAGAAATCACATTACTTTATATTTACCTAAAACCCACAATTTATGTAAGTGTGTGTGGGGGGGTGTGGGTGGGTGTGGGTGTGGGTGTGTGTGTAAATGAAGTTGTGTCACTTGGGCTCACAATGCTCCCTACAAGAACAATATACTAACAGTAATAGGCATGAGAAACCACCTTTTGAGTCAAGGTAGTCCAAATGACTCCCCAAATAATATAGGCTTCTGATGTTGCCCTGAGATGCCTCTCAGAGGATAATGTTAAGTAAGACCTATTGCTGAAGACTTTGAACACTTAAGGACACAGGACTTGGATTATTTGAACTGGATCTAATCTGAAAGCATCCTCCCTGCAGTGTAGTTTACATAGCATCATAAAATACTATGCAAGCTGCCAAAGGAGGGAAGCAATTACTCATGCTATCCAGTTATAACACCTATGAACCACAACAATGACCAACATAGTAAGATATCTATAAAAGTGCATTAATGGCGCTCACATGTTGGTAGCAACCAACAGCTGTCTAATTGTCTACTCCACAGGAGAGAAATCATGCCTAGTACTGGAACCCTAGTCAACTACCTGGGGCTAATGAGGTCATAAATCTTAGAAGAGAATCTACCATTGTCTCTTTGCTAGACCAGCATAATTCTTTAACTGCATTAGAAATGTTAACCTTATAACCACATACAAGTCTAGCTATCACACCGAAGAGGGTTCTCTCTACAGCAAATAGACACCATTGCAGAAAACCACAACTGGGCTCAGTGAAAAGATCAATGGGTCATGGGTAGTCCAGCTCCAGTGGATACTATATTTATGTCTCAGGGAACATTTCTGAAGAGAGTAGAAAACTTGAAAGAGCCAGACTGTGAGAAAGTCTATTGTGTGGCTGCCTCTCCTAGGAATTGTTCTGTTAATAGGATCTAAACAATGGAAACTATCAATAAACATGCTAACATGAAAGTGGTAAAAAATCTCACAGTGCCCTACCCTTAAACAAAGAACTATAGGCAATTGACAACTGCTGAGAAAGGGAGAAGTCATCTCCCCCAGGGTTGAACCCCCATGACTGGGTCTTCAATACAAAGTAGTCATCCCTGAAATTGTGTGTGCGTGTGTGTGTGTGTGTGTGTGTGTGTGTGTGTGTGTGTGTACATATATATAATAAACATTCACTCATCAGGTTATATCTATATATTTATATGTGTGTGTGTAACAATAAAAAAGAAAAAGAGGCTACCAACTTGAGAGTGAGGTGGACACATAAGGGGTTGGAGGGCAGAAAGGGAAAGGAGAAAGTGATGAATTACATTAAAATGTAAAACATTAATTAACGTCTTAAAATATTGGGCTGACTACAGAATGGGAGAAAATTTTGCCAACAATACATCAAACAGGTGATTAGCATCTAGGATACAAAAAGAACAGAAAAAAAAAAAACCCAAAAAACAAAGCCTGTGATTAGTAAATGGGCTGGAAAACTGAATATAGTTCTCAAAGAAACACAAATGTTTAATATTTCTTTAATAATAAAATAATTTTTAAAATGTTCAATACCCTTCCTTAGCTATCAGGGAAATGCAAATAAAACTGCTTTGAGAGTCCATCCTACCATTTCACAATACATATGCTGGCGAGGACTCGAGGAAAGAGGACTCTTCATTTACTGAGAGTGGGAGTAAACTGATGCAGCCACTGTGGAAATCAGGGCAAAGTTTCTGAAAAACAAGAGAGTACAGCTACCATATGATCCAGCTATCCCACTCCTGGGCACGTATCTGGAGTTTTCTAAGGCTACATAACACAAAGATGTCTGCACATCCATGCTCACTGCTGTGGTGTTCGCAACAGCTAGGAAATGGAACCAGCCTACATGCCCATCAATAGATGAATAGGGAAGGAAAAGGTGATAATATTCACAATGGGATCTTATTCTGCCAAATGCTGACATCCGAAGGAAAATGGATGGAACTGGAAATCATTATGCCAGGCAAACAAAGCCAAATTCACAAGACAAATACTATATGTTTTCTCTCATGTAAATCATAAAACCAGAAAGGGAACTACGCTGAATGGTTTGATGTCAACTTGGCATAAGCTATAGCCATCGGAGAGGAGGGAATTTCAATTAAAATGCCTCCATAATATCAGGCTGCAGGTGCATCTGGAAATCGTTTTCTTAACTAATGTTTGGTAGGGGAGGGCCCAGCCCATTGTGGGTGGTGTCATCCTTGGGCTGCTGGTCCTGGGTTTTATAAAAAAGCAGGATGAATAAGCCAGGAAGCAGCACTCCTCCATGACCTCTCTGCATCAGCTCCTGCCTCCAGGTTCCTGCCCTGCTTGAGTTCCTTCACTGATAAACAGTGATGTAGAAATGTAAGCCAAATAAGCCCTTTCCTCCCCATGGTGTTTCATCACAGCAATGATAACACTAACTAGGACGGAAGTCGTACAAGAAGAGACTTTGAGGGGGTAGATGCTGGGAGCAGGGAGGCCATTGCAGGGTAAGGAAGGGAACCAGCAAGGAGTGGGGGAGGGGTGAAAGTCTGATATGAAAAGAACAGAATATATATGAAGTGTCATAATAAGATCCATTACTTTCTATGTTATCTTGGGATCCCTCATCCCTGCAAGCTGAGCATTGACTGCCTCCAGGGTGAAGCTAACAGAGTCTCAAGAGATGTTTCCCATGCACCACCGGGAGGGGCTGGTCCTGTTGGCCCTGTGAAAGGGCAGTCAGAGAGGAAAGAAAAAGGTGCTATAGCCACGAAGGTTCCAGACATCTGCCTTGGTTATCACCTAAACTTGTCAAGGGAGCATCAGAGTTTCCCTGAAGCATCTGAAAGGCATAGCTATTAATTATCATATTATTATTATTATTATTATTATTATTATTATTATTATTATTATTATAAACTTCCACACTATTCCCACAGTGGCTGCATCAATTTCTATCGCCATTATGAGTGAATGGAGGCCTCCTTCTCCCTACATTCCTGCCAGCATACATTGTCCTTTGAAAACAGCTTTCTTTTCTTTCTTTTGGTTTTTTCTTTTCCAAGACAGGATTTCTTTGTGTAGGCCTGGCTGTCCTGAAACTTACCCTGTAGATCAGGCTGGACTCAAACTCAGAGATCTGCTGCTTCTGTCTCCTGAGTGCTAGGGTAAAAGGTGTTCACCACCACTGCCTGGCAAAAAGAGCATTCTTTAAAAGATGGTATGTAAGGCCACTCCTCTAGAAGAAAGGTGGCCAACTAACTTGGCTAATCCAGGTCTCGGGGCTTTCCCACAGTGTGAGACTTGGGAACCAAAGCCAGGATAGCCATAGGCCAACTGGATGGCCTTTCTGTCACAGTTCTTTGTCATTGTGGATCATGGCCTTATTTACACACCCCACAGTCCAGTTAGGTCCAAAGTCACTGTTTAGAATGACTGGCATGCTGAGTTTGCTGCCTCATCTGAGATGGCTGAATGCCCTCTCATCTTCCTTCTGTTCCTTGCCCTGCCTCCACTGACTGAACATTCTAGAGCTCTCTTGCCTTTTCAGTCTCCACTGCTCTTCCACAGCTATCCTCAGATTCTGGAGCCCTGAGACTGAATAGTTCCCCAAATTAATCTTACTGATGGGAGCAAACAATGCCCCTGTCTTCTCTCCTCCCATCCCTTCTTACCATTAACTCAGTCATGAACCAACTTTCTTCAGGGCCCACATGAAATGTTACCTCCTCTACCACTGTAAAAGCCATTCTCCTCATTTATTCTCTAAAAGCACCCAACCTATAAGTTCTGCCTTATAGAAGTGTGTGTGTGTGTGTGTGTGTGTGTGTGTGTGTATGTGTGTATGCGTGCATGAGTATGCATGTGTTTTTCCATTCTGTGCTATGTTGCAAATTATCAGAAAACAGGAGAAATGTGTAACATGTTAAGTCTCCATTCCAGGCTTGGTAAACAGATTATCAATCTTAACACTCTCTCACACACTCAACTCCAATCCCAATGGATTCTGTTTGACTCTGTCAACACGAGACAATTCTTTCATCAGCCAAAAGTGAGAATCAACTAGCCAATTTCATGAAAACATGCATCAAAGGGGAGCTGAATGAATACATAAATGCATATGCCATCTGACATGTTGAGAAGCAGCAGGGCCCTCCCTCTGCCCTGCCTCCTGCAGGAATTAGCTTCTTCCTGTTCTGTCTTCCCCCAGCATTTGGACTACTGTTGAGGGCATCTCATGATCTATGTCATGTTAAGCAGGATGGTGTAACATGAATCATAAAAATCCAGAGACACATATTGGGGTTCAAGCTGAAGATCAGAAAAGCAAAGCAGCTAAGCCACCAGAGAGTTCTTACCTCTACCAAGGCTGAGGAGATCCTGACCTCAACATGACTGGAGACTAACTGTCAAGTGAGCCCAGCATATTCCTCTCTAGGCTGGAATTAAAGGAGTGAGCTCTGTTTCTTTTTTAGACTGATTCATTCTCATGTAGCCCTGGGTGGCCTTGAACTCACAGAGATCCATCTGCCTCTGTCTCCTGAGTCCTGAGATTAAAGACATGTGCCACCACCACCTGGCTTCTATGGCTGTGGCTAGCTTTTCATTCTGATCTTCTGTGGCTTTATTAGACCATAAACAGCATATCACCACAGGATGGGGTCATGTGAACCTTCTTGTCTAGTCTATGAGCCCCTGGAAAGTAGAGATGTGCCGTGATCAGGTACATTACGAATAGCTGTCTGAGAATTTCATATGTACTTTAGGGTCAGGAAAGCCTGCTGTACTAATTCTAAGAGCTAGGAAGGTATCTCTAAACAAAGCACTCAAAAGCCTTGGGCTACCCCAGTTCCTGCAGCAGAAAAGCACTGTAGCTAAAAGCAGATGGGCCTTTGGTCATCTCAGTCATCTTCATGATGGAACAAGAATGCTGCTGAGATCGCATATCACTTAGACAAGTGTCACTAGTGCCCACACCTCTAGCTCATCACCAGTTCCCAGGCTCTAGGTCTCTGAACACTGAATAATGCTCTCATTGCCAGCCTGGGAGAAGCACAATCCAGAAGGGAAGGAGACAAGGCAGGAATAACTATGATGCTGAACATCTGCCCCAGAGAACCTGATGTCTTTAAATATTATACCATTTTTCAGTACAGTGAATAATCAAGAATTGGCATTACATTGCTATCTTATTACTATATGTTATGTAATTTCCCCAGAGAGTGTAACATTTTAATACAGTTGTTCTTTCATTTGTGAAAAACACTAAAAGATGTATTGCTACTTTCTTATACTACCTCAAACTCAAGTATAATTCCTGTAAAATCTCCAGGGATGTTTAGATTCTGGGACTGCTTAAAGTGGGTCCCTGTGTGTGCGCAGCAATTGTGTTTTCTAGGGAAGGGCCTGTCTAACTCTCATCACTAACAATGTAGAGAAAAGCTGACAGGCATGTCTTTCTTTCAAAGCTGCTTTCTGATTTTTGTTTCCAGTGGCCTTTCCATTGAGTAAAGATAACCAGCCCCTTCTGCTGATTTGTCTGCTGATTTGTTTTAGTTCCCTAAAACACATGGCTTTGGCTAACCCTGGCAGACTTAAGAGAACCAAATGGCTATTCATATTATTTGAGATGCTGACTGGCAAATATAGACCCCTGCTTCACCTCTTCGGACAGAGTCTTATGCAAATGTTTTTCACTACTTGCAGTAATGTAAACAAACCAAGAGACTATGTCTATGCAAATGAGATATAGATATATGCACATTAATGGTGTTTGTTGTTGATTGGTGGGACATAAGAGATTTTCCCCCAACTCTTTTCGGTGGTGTGTAGCTTCTAAAATGTCTACGGAACCTCTTTATAGTGTAAAAATGAAAACTTCAGTTTTAAAATTTATGATAGAAAATAATGGGTATGTATACACATGTGTGTGCATTCATACATGTGTATGTATGTGTATGCAGCAAAGGAAGAAAGATGCTGGGTGCCCCTGCCACTCACTCTCTGCCTTTTTCCCTTGGGACAAGTTTGCTCACTGAACCTAAAACTCAATCTCTGTCTTCAACCCAACCCTACCCAGTTCACCTCCATCAGGGGCCACACGGGGCTTTCCTACGTGGGTGCTGGGATTCTGAACTCAGATCCTCACGCTTGTGCTGCAAGTGTGCGCTCTTATTCCATGGATCATCTCCTCCACCTGTTTTTCTGTTGTGTATGGTTTGCTTTGGTTTTTCTTTTTGGCAGTACTGGAGATTGAACCTCAGGCCTCATACGTGCTAGACAGGTGCTATACCATTGAGTTACACTGCTAAACCTACACCAGGTACCCTCAAACACTTTCCCATGGGAAGAGAAGAAGCTAACTGTATGTTTTGTGCAGGTTTTACAAAAGATAGTCATATGCACCAACTGAATATTCCAGCAAAACAAACTGTCAAGGCATACAAGCTTTCTTCCTGACAGAGCACAAGACTCACCAGGCAAGAGGATGGGTACTAGCTTCTGACCTTTCTTGAAGAGGAGGCTTATCCAGAGGGCTGGGAGATCTGGAATGCCGGGGGGTGTTGGAAAATGGAGTTTCCAGGTGGAAATCGGCATCCCCTTGGTGACTGGGAATGGGTTTTTCGGACATCCTTGAATCTAAAGGTGATGGTGGCTGATTCCTTAAAAGAATACGTTCATCTGGCTCTCTGGTAACCTGAGTAACAACATGCATTATTCTTCACTTGTAGTTTTGGTTTTGAACAAGGAAGAGAAACTGAGATAAGATAACAGAATATGTGGTCAGGGATCTCCCACAAATAAAAGATGGGGCTGTGGTGCAAAAGCCTCAGGAATATGAGCCAGGGGGATACAGCTGAGAGCTCTGTGTTTGGCAACATTAATGAGCCAAAGTAAACTCCTTCATATGCATCTCTCAGTTTGTAGCATACAAGCTGGAGCTTTCGGTTGGCCAATTGATCAAACTTGAGGACACGATTACCACCTCCTTGTATAAAAGGTATCTGATTAAAGACAGGCAATGTATAAAACCTTCCTTGATGATTGATCACACAGATGAAAAAAAAAAGGAACAATTCAATAACTTCACAATGTAGCAGACAGTGGATTCGGAGCACTGGTCTGCATAAACCCGACTTAAGCTATGCTTCTCTAAAATGAGCAGCACAGCTGGGAACATATTCTCCCACTGACTGCACAGGGCTTGACATAGATGCTGGAAATAAATCATTACCTTGATGTTTGTTGCAAGGCTTTCAAGAGAAGATGCTAGAAGAAAGAAGAACATGAGTGTGAGGAACTTGTTACCAGTTAGCCATAAAACTGCTGATACATTCATCACATAGAAGAACAAAGATTTTAGACAATAAATGAATGACAAAGGAACTAAATGCTCCCTTGTAAAATCCAAGATCACAACCGAGTCTCTCTTAGGGCACTGAAATTCTAGGGAGCTTTCTGTCTTCCTGGGGTCCACAGTCAGGTTACATTTTCAGTTATAGCGCAGCTAGAAAGGGTATGGGGGGGACCAACATGCTATGGAGCAGAAGTTCAAGACCCTTACAGCCTTAAAGAGAGAAAACACTTTTGCCCAGATGCCCAGAGATTCAAAGAAGACAATATGGATCTAATATAAAGTTGCTATGCTCTGCTGCATAAGTCCTTAGCTCTTGAGTATACTTGTCTGAGGTAAACACGAAATTTGACACTGAGCCACAAAAATACATAAGAATACATAAAAACATAGAGAAACGTGATGCATACAAACCACAAATTATTGTCATTACCCTAAATGTCCACGAGAGGCAAGTAGCTCTCACAGTAGTGAGTAGCAAGGATGACTAGAAAGCAAAGTAATAGCCTAATATGATCAAGGTCTAATTCCAAAATAAAACAAAATCTTTGACTCTAAAAGTAATAAATACACATGGAGAAAACTGAAATGCAAGTGGATTTTTTTTCCAAGTTTAATGACAAAACATTCTCCAGACTCTTCGTCCCCTTACACCACCAGTTGCAATAAGAAAAGGAGAGATTTTTAAAGCCTGACACCTTCCCTATCTGGGCATACTCATCTGTGTGTGTGTGTGTGTGTGTGGTCCTGGAACACCTCCATGGCCCGCCCCTATAAACTGGACAAGGAATCATCAATGCTAAGTCCCTGGTAGCGATAGCTACAAAACCATTCAGAAGCCTAGGAACTCCTTGGGCACTCCCCTGCAGGGAGGTTAGAACTGCATTTACATCTGCTTTGATTTGAACCCTTGTTTCTCAAGGTAATCCATGGCCCAGCAGCACAAGGACCCAGGCCCCACACCCGTGCTTTATCAAGTTGTCCAGTTCAACAAGCATCCCAGCTGACTCAGAGGCACACAGAGTCTTGGAGACCTGGCTTTTATTCCCCTATACATCTGGAAGTGACCTAAGCATAGGGATGGCCTGAAAGTCCCAGGGGTTCCAGTATCTAGGTCCAGAGATCTGAACATCTGGAGGCTGTAGCTCCACTAACATCTTGGTGTAATACTTGTACTCACACTGCCCGGATCAAGAAATGGCAAGCACGGTGTATAAGCGCCATCAGAGGCAAGCCAGCATCAAGCTCCACTGCTGTTGCTTGTTTTCACTGTGACAGGGATGATAGCACTGATTTTACGGGTTGCACCAGTGATTTTCAATCACAGTGCTTAAATTAAATGTCAGAGGTGATGAAGCTCTTTCTCCTCCCAACCTCACCCTCTGTCCGGGTCAGCTGTTAACTGTCACTCTGTCTGGCCAGAGTTACCACAAAACACTCTCTAGTCCTTTAAAACTACAAACCACTAAGCCAAACACAGGAAACTCCACTGTGAGGCCATCACAAGTCTAGTCCCACCAAGGGGGAACAAAAGGGATCATCGCCAGCCCAGTCTAGACTCAGAACTCCAGGCCAGCTGCCGTGACCTTCACTAGGGACAGACTCACACATCTCAGACCTGAGGTAAAAGCCTCCCAGGAGTGCCTTAGCCCCAGACACTGTCAATTAGTAACGTACAGTTCAGTAACCTCAATGGTCATGGGGGGTCCCTTTAGGACCTTTCATGAAACCTCCTAATCAAAACCTGCATTCATAATTATACTAAGACATGATTTATTCTTCTCAACTCTCATTCTCCCACAGTGTAACAAAGCCACCACAGCACATCATAACAATATGATTCTGATGGCTAGTGACTTTTCTGCTGGTATATTACATTTTTATGATTACGCAGTTTCAATTTCTAACATGCTAAATGTGGATACCATCATCCATGTCAATCAAAGCGCTTTAAAGTTCCCAATATTATTTGCAAATGTATCCTGAAATCCATAGCTCTGAAGACTACTTTAGCCTAACTGTTTCAGAGAATCGGCTCCCTCCTCACTAACGTGTAATCGGGTCAGCAAGTGTCATGACTGCTATCAGTCTCTTGCTCCTTTATCCTCAGAAAAATGGTAAAACAAACAATGTATTTGCTAACTGTCAGCGATGCAAGGAGCTCACGCCAGCAGAAGCAGCTATCTGCTTTGCCAGCCTACCCACAGGCTGTGGCCACATGTGGTTAGTCACACCACGCAGCTCAGTCCCCTTCAAGTACTGAGGGCAACTTGAAGATGAACAGCTTCTTAGATGCCTCAGCCCCGTGGGAACACCTCGGCTGGAGAGACCTTAAATATCGGGTTCACAGTTAGCAGTGTAACCTATCTATCCCCAGAGTGAGAGATGCTAAGTGGGATGCACTCATGCTCATTTAGGGAACATTAGTAACAAGAAACTCAAGTACCTCTTCTCACTGGAATATCAAAGTCAAAGAACTTAGATTTTCTTCTGGACTTCTGTAAAAGATGATCCAAATTGCTTTCACCAAAGGGGTTTTCACTGTCCACCTGAAAGTGAAGGAGACATGTAAGACTCCACCTGCTGTAGCTTGGATTGCCTTCTAATTACCCATAATGCCCCACCCCAACTCAGAGAGAAGCTGGAAAACAACCTAAATCACAGTCTCCAAGTATAGTAAGTTATACCCCACAGAAGAAACCATCCACCATCTCCACCGGGGCTAGATAGGAGGGTGTGTGTTAAATGTGAACATAGAGAACTGAAGATAGATTTAAAAAAAAAAAAAAAGACAGCACAAAGCTTCTGCCTCATGAGTGCTGGGATTAAACATGTGAGCCATCACACCGGGCTCGGAATCCTTTGGACGGACAGAGTATTCCAAGAACAAGAGACTGACCATTCAGATTCCCTTCCAATCTGCCATCTAGATTCTTTTTGAACACAATAGAGCCCAACAGTGGTGGCTCATACACTTGGAAGGCAGAGGCAGGAAGACTGAGGTTCAAGGCTAACCTGGTTGATAGACCAAGTTCCAGGATAGCTAGGGCTACACAGAGAAACCTTGTCTCAAAAAGCAAAAATCAAACAAACTAACGAACCCCACAACAGCAGTAACTATTCTCTTACTTAAAGTGGCAGGCCATGTTTCCTAAGACAAAATTGGTCAGCATGATCTGCAGAAGAAGCAGGTCAATGGGCTTGAAAAAGAGATTCTTCTACAGCATAAATTTCGAAATAGACTTGGGATTTTATTTGTTTTTTTTTTTTCAGTAAAGCAGGCTACAATGGTAGTTTTCATTATATGACAAGAAATACTGATTACATCTTCTAATTTAAAACTTTTTAATGTGCTTTGCTTGCATGTGTGTCCATGTACTACATGTATGCTGATGCCCACAGAGGCCAGAAGATGGCATCAGATCCCCTGGAACTGGAGTTACAAACAGGGACTGCTGTGTGGGTGTTGGGAACTGAACCTGAGTCCTCTGGAAAAACAGCCAATGTTCTTAACTACTGAATGAGCCACCTCTCCAGATACAAGTTCTCTAAATTTTAATGCTTCTGCTAAGGATGTCTCATGTATGATCACAAAATCTGGCTAATTAAGAATGTAAGATTATCCATAAAAGAGCTTAGCATATAGCAAAAACTGTAATGACTTGTTAAATAATAGGTTTCTACTTCCTAAGAAATCTAACCATTTTTTAAAAGGATTAATTACTCCACAGTGGCAAGGACTGCATTTTATAATCATATATATGGAATAGAATAAATCACACTGTCCAAAAAATGCTAGCTATCAACACTTCTACAGAGCCATATTTAATGTTGTGTTGCTACATTTTTTCCAGGTGTCTTTAGCAAGACCAACAAAAAGAAAACAGCCATTTAGTATTTCTGTGTCTACGAATAGTTCTTATTTGCAGATTAGCTAATTGGAATTTTCCAGCCAGAAAGCTCAATTCTACCTACAAGTAAACTACACACAACCATCTCTATGGCACCTTGACTGAGACTTGCCCCATCTCACAGCCTGTATCAAATGCACAATCATAATTTCTGGTGACCCTAGTGAAAATATCAGCAATTTATCCATTGCTAACATTCTGAAGATAGCCACTAGCTAGAATGTGTGGTAGAGTTCATGAAGAGTCCAAAGTAACAGGAAATGTTAGTTTGCATCTGTCTGTCTGTCTGTCTGTCTGTCTGTCTATCTATCCATCCGTCCATCCAACCATCTATCTATAGTATAATTACAGCTTCATGGAAAACATAAAGGCTATTAATACAAAAACTGAAGACGTTAATCAAATTAATGATTTGTGGCTGGGTGTGTGTGTGTGTGTGTGTGTGTGTGTGTGGGGGGGGGTGTGGGTGTGTGTTAACTCAATAGCTCAACTTTTCCTGAAACACTCTATGTAATCCAGGCTAGCCTCAAACTCATGGTAATCCCCCTGTCTTAGTCTCCCAAGTGCTGGATTGCAAGGGCATATCACCACATCTGACTTTAGATATTCTTTATATTACACTGATGAGCCAATGTGTAAACTTACTTTGAATGTCTCTGTTTTATAATACAGTAATTAAAAACAAATTTTTGCTGAGCGGTGGTGGCACACACCTTTAATCCCAGCACTCAGGAGGCAGAGGCAGGTGGGTCTCTGTGAGTTCGAGACCAGCCTGGTCTACAAGACCTAGTTCCAGGACAGCCTCCAAAGCCACAGAGAAACCCTGTCTCGAAAAAAAAAAGAAAGAAAGAAAGAAAGAAAGAAAGAAAGAAAGAAAGAAAGAAAGAAAGAAAAGAAAAAAGAAAAACAAAATTTCAAGACAACTAGGAGAACTACAGTGACTAACCACTGCCTCTGGTGACTAAGATTCAGATGGCTCCTTGAGTGAGGCCCATCACTGCTTTTTCCCCGCAGACACCCTGTCCCTGCTCAGCATTTGGCTGTTGAACACCAGTCTCACTGAGAAAGTGAAAACTTTTTCTTGAGTTGATGCACCTTATCAGTCAGCCTTTGATTAACATCTTCAATTTCTGGCAGTTTCAGACTCCTCTGAGTAATGATGAGTTCTCATCTACAGACGTCATACTCTATTAATACTGTTCAGAAATTAGAAATGGGATGATTGACATTTACTGAGCAAATTCCCTCTGTGATGCCTGTATAGACATATCCCAACAATGACACTGGAAAATGAACATCATTCAATGACAGCTACTATTCATTTGAATTCCCTCTTTGGTTACTGTTGCCCACTTGCATAGCTCAAAGCTTCTTTCTCCCACTGCTATCCACATCCTCCATGCAACAAGTTACCCTGAAAAAATCACTTTAAGCTCACATGTCTAACCACAAACGGAGGCTTTCTTTCTCCAGGGAGCCCGAAGCTTTTGCCAAAGTTCACTGGCGTCGGCTGGTGCGGGAGGAGACGTCTGGGAGATGATGGGGTGGGTACCCGGGACGAGTTGCCTTTGGGAAGTCGGTCGGGACTTTTCTCCTTTGGCTTCATCTTTCTGTAATTTGTGGGAGCTCTTTGTGATTTAAATAAAAGCCTTTGTGATTTACAGTTGTCTTCCTGAAAGCAGAAAACAAACAAACAGACAGAGATTTGCTGTGCTGTTTCTTTTTGTTAGGCCTTGACCATGCTTAGAAGGCACTTGGCCCACTCCAGCCAAAAATATTCTTTTGATTGGAAAAAAGATGATAATTCTGTCAATTAATCCAGTAATTAATTGAACATTTATAAACTATGACAGAAGACTGCCTCAGATTTATAAAACAAAACTTCAAAGAAAGGTATTTGTTTACTTAATCTACCACTTAGCTTAACATATTTTAAGTAATAACAGCCAGCTTTATTTGTATTAGGGGAAACTTTGAAAATGGCAGATACACACAGACATATTCCAAGCACAGGTTTTTATAGACACGGAGAAGCATAAATGGCATATATAATTGGGTCCAACCATTTCACTTCAAAGAATTTACTGAAAGTAATCAAGTACTGATATGTGTACAGCAATGAGAGCATTTCTAATAGTTTAGGGAAGGTGCTGTTCTTTAGAGACAGGGTCTCACCATGTAGCCTCAGCTGCCCTTCAACAGTAGCAAGCTCCCACATCAGCATCCCCAGAGCTAAGATTCCATATGTGTGTCACCATGACCAGCTTAAAATGGTTTTAAAAATTAAAAACTAGCTGTCTTGGCGAATAAACGATCATCTTAGCTGAAATCCCACCTCAGCTCTATGACACTGTAGCAAAGACTGACGGCTCCTTTTCCTTCATCCAGCTGTTCTGATTGGTTGGTCTGTGGTGGGGGGGGTGGGGCAGGGGGCTAATGGTCTCCCATGCTGTTTGACACCATCAGTTAACCATCGTTCACTTGAACACCACCACTCCTAAGACACAGCAAACATACTGTAATGGGACAGGCTGAGCAAATGGTTTGAACACAGAAATCAAACCCAGCAAAAACTGCCCAGGTTTCTGTATGTTCAGTTTCATTTAAACTCAGCAAACTGAATTCAAACTAAGAGTCTTTAAATTGTGGTAAGAGGCTCTTGTCATTTCTGTCATTGTCCCTTTAACTATACTTACAAAAAATCTGTTGCTAAGCGGGCACATGCATTCTCGGATGGCTGTCCTTGTAGAAAACTCTAGTTTGGGAGCAATACCCTAAAAAACAAGGCAGCATGAAGAGAAGCAAATTAAATTACTAGAAATAATTCTCTTGCCCATCTCATCTTCACTGGAAACCCACTAAGAACCCAAATGTCCTTCTGTGGTCCGCATAATCAGAATATTTTCTTGACGTCAGAAGAGCTGATGTGTACACTGTACTGACTGAGGTCTAAGTCAACTTGGTATATACACTCATACTCCTAACACAGTTCTGTGAAGGGGGTCCTAATGAAAATTTTCTTTTGACATGATAGCTTACATAGCCTGTCAGGCTGGCTTCGGCATAGCTGGTAATTGGATCTAGGCATCTGGGTTCCAATGTCCATGCTGTTAACTACTCTGTTAGCTGTTCTGTCTAAAATACAGGAGTGTGGAAATTAGGTTATTAAAGAGGAACAGGTAGAGGGTCTTCTTCCCTACCTACTTGCCTTGGAAAACTTGGCTTTCATCTTATATCAAGCATTTATATTCATCAGGTCTATTCTCAAACTGTTTTATTAACTGCTATATGTCTATTTTGGTGTGGTGTTTTATCATCTAAATGACTGTTGAAGTCTAAAGTGAAGTAAACCACAATGTATGGGAATACAAAGAAAAACGCCACCATAGTGGATAAAATCAATCTAATTGCTAATGAACTGATAAGTCACAGTAAGCAGATGAATGGTTTGCCTGACCTACTTAGGTCATGCATCTCATTTTCTACAGCTGTAATAGAAACCAAGAAGAGTGAACTCAAATAAATCCAAGAGAATTAGTATCATGTTTGTGGCTAAGAGTATAAACCCCAAAGAACAAGAGTTCCTGTTCTTCGAGCCCAGGTACATTTCTGATACACAGCAGCTCCATTCCATATGATGAGGAAAGGAACAGTTGTCCCTCCCCAGGATGGCAGAACAAAACAACCCATGTTATGAGCTCAGCACACACCATGCACACCAACTGACACTGAAACTCTGGCAAGTGGCTCAGTTTTGATTTGTGAAATGTTTCAGAGGAATTGAACCACTCTATCTTTTTATCTATCTATCAAATTGTTCATAGAGTCTGATAAACTCAATTACAAGAATTGATATCCATGTGTGAAGGCATTTCAATGCATTTTAAAGGTTTTTCCTGACAATCACCTTCATTTATAAATAACTACAAATACACTGGGCGTTGGTGGTGCATGCCTTTAATCCCAGCACTCGGGAGGCAGAGACAGGTGGATCTCTGTGAGTTCGAGGCCATCCTGGTCTACAGAGCGAGTTCCAGGACAGCCTCCAAAGCAATACAGAGAAACCCTGTCTCGGAAAAAAAACCAAAATAGATAGATAGATAGATAGATAGATAGATAGATAGATAGATAGAGATAACTACAAATACAACTTCATATCCAATAATCTTTGTATTCATGCCCAGAATATTCAACATGTGACACTTGAGGAAAAGAAAGTGTTTCTCCTTGTTTTGATTTTAAAGATGGCTTTTATTTAACAGGGAATTTGAGGAAAACAAAGTTAATGTGAGAGTTTCCTCAGGCTGGTTCATTCCCATTAACTTTTATTCCCTTTTAGGTTCTGTAGGGCAACACGCCAATAATTGAAGTAATAAAGGTTAGCATCTCACAGGTACCATGGACTTAAGTGATAGATGAAGGTGATGTTGGAGAAAGATAAAGAGTGGTTTTAGGAATATTTGCCAGACCCCTTAAGACAACAAAGAGGGCTTAAAGTTATAGGTATTTGGGATTCTGATTAGGATAACTTTCGATGAATGTTGACGTTTGGCTTACATATCCATCATCAGAAGCATTGAAGGGACAATTGCACCCTTGAAGAGAACTCTCAGCAGGTTGGGGACAGCTACACTTCTCTACATGATAAGACAGGAAATCACAGTGTAGAAACAGAAAGCCTACGTGTTAATTATGCTTTTTATAATTCACAAACATGTGGCCCTTAAAGGGGAGGTCATCTAAAAGACATAAAAATTCACTAAAAAAAAAAAAAAGTGGTTGTTTCAAAGACAGAAATCATAGACCATAATATCAAATGAATGTCTTGAGTCTGTGCTGTGGAATAATCCTTCTGCATACTGTGAAAGTGTGTTGCTCTCATTGTTAATAAAAAGCTGATTGTCCTATAGTTGGGCAGGAAGAGACTGGGAGAGACAGCCTAACTAGGAGAATTCTGGGAAGAAGAGAGGAGTCTGGAGTCACCAGCAGATGCAGGGAGAAGCAAGATGGGCATGCTGTACTGAGAAAAGGTACCAAGCCACAAGGCAAAGCATAGATAAGAAATATGGGCTAGTTGAAAATATGAGTTAGCTAATAACAAGCCTGAGCTATTTGCTGAGCATTTATAAGTAATATAAGCCTCAGTGTGTTAGCTGCAGGACAGGAAAACTCCATCAACAAGTTTGGATTCAGATAAATGGCACCAAACAGGTTATTAGCTGCCTATCTGCTGCACCATGCATGGTTCCTCAACAACATTGGCCTCTATCAGTTCCCCTCTGCTAAAGCAGAACTGATTGACAATATCAGCCTTGGCTAATTTGCAAATTAGGAAGAGAATAACTAAAAATGTAGAAAGTTGAAGGTATAAAACAAATGCGAGATAATATTATTTCTGTCATTACTCTATTTAGTAAAAACAGCTATGACCAAACAGACCTTTCTGTCAATCTGCAATAAGAAGTAGTTGAAAGAGGAACCTTTTATGATATCATGTGACAACTGACTATGGCAATGATATAGTTTAGTTAGATAATAAAACTTTTGGCTCTTATTGTATCAATAGTGGAAATCGGTATAGTTTGGTATCATGATCTGAGCATCTGACCATAGATGAAAACAGAACTGAGGTAACTAAGCAAGACAAAGCTACCTGCCTAAGATCAACCCTGTCAGGAATAAAATGTTCAAGCCCCAAAAATTTCTCTCCCTGTAGAAGCCCAAGTGGGGAGGGTCACTCACTGGAAAGCCTATTGCTGTCTTCATGAGCACCTCTCTATCCAAGCCAAGGTGTAAAGATGTCAGCTTGGGCTCAGGGAATAGAAAATTGCGTGTGTTTTCTTCATAGTAGGCCAGCTCTTCCCATACTAGAAGGAAAAGAGAAAAAGCATAAGTGAATGTACTCTACACCCTTCGAGTTTCACAAAATAGATACTCAGATGGTGTGCTGGTTAGTTTTTTGTCAACTTGACACGATCTATAGTCATCTGAGAGGAGGGAACATGAACTGAGAAAATGCCTCCTTGAGACTGTGCTATAGGCAAGCCTGTAGTGCATTTTCAATTGGTGATTGATGTGGGAGCGCCTACCCCTTTGTGGGTAGTACCACTCCTGGGCTGGTGGTCCTGGGTTCTATAACAAACTGAACACGCTATGGAGAGAAAGCCAATAAGCAGCACTCCTACATGGCCTCTGTATCGGCTCCTGCCTCCAGGTTCATGTCCTGACTTCCTTTTAGGATGAACAATGATGTGGAAATGTAAGCCAAATGAAGCCTTTCTTCTGCAAGGTGCTTTGGTGTTTCATCACAGCCAGTAACCCTAACTAAGACCAATGGTGTCAGAGAGGGCACTTGAGTCAAACTAGATATTTTGAACCTAGCATTTGTTATTCAAAAATAAGTTAATTTCTATTACTTTTTATCTTGTGGATAATTTACCTCATGGATAGTCTTCTTGAAAAAAAATGGAAGGTTGCTATACAAAATTGAACAAAATAAATCTATCCATCTGCCCATCCATCCTTTCCTTCACCAAATATATATTGAAGATAAATTTTGAGTCAGACCCTGAAAGCAGACAGGAATGAGGCCAACACAATCATGCTCACACAAAGCTTATAGTTTAAGTGGGCTCTGTATGTTTGGGCACAGGGGTGCCAGTAGCTCAGAGAGCAAGCAGACTTCTTGGCAAGATGGTATCAACCTAGTGATGATTTAGACATATGTTAAGATCATTTACAAGAAGGAATCAGCAATGCTTCAATGTCCTGTGGAGCTCAAGACACTCCCACATATTTTTTTCTACCATGCATGGCTTTCTAATGTCTTACTAGACATTTCTTTAGGTTAAAAATAATCTAATGATCATCTGAGCCTGGGACTTAAAGCTATACTACAAAGAACTTTTTGTATGATTTTATAATACACTGACTTTTCTAGACATGTGGGTATTGTACAAATAAAAGAACAATTTTGTTTTTTTCTTGTTTGGGTTTCTACTAAGCCTATTTGACATTTTGAAAATCATATCACATTTAAATACATCATTATTCCCAGTGTTATATTCTAAAATGCATCCTGTTTCATTATAATGCAAACAGTGGAGGCCCAACTCATGCAACAAGCACTCTATTAAGAACTGGAAAATGGCCATTTGTGTGATATTTTGGGCACAAATCTAGTTTCATTCTGCCCTTATCCTGAGAACTTGAGTGAAGTTGAATTTCAAGTCTATTTCAAAATAGACTAATTTTGTGGAGGGAATGTCAAGACAGGAGAAGATGCATATTGGTAGTGAGAACAGTGAGAAAGCACTTGTAATCATTAAAGAGATGATCCCTGAGGAGAAACAACCTACATGCACTGAGACAACAGGCTGGGTGCCCCAAGGGCAAAACCCCACTCACGGTAAAAGTTCTCTTAGGAAGATTCAAACATAACTGAGGGAAGAAAGCCTAAACTGAATAGGTTCCTTACTCCTTGAAGTAAGAAATAGTCCTAGGGGAATATTTCCCAGGATCGTCACATTTAAGTTGATACAGCTATAGTCCAAGAGAACCATGCTTCATCTTGAGCTGGCTGTAATACTTGGAAATGTCATCCATATACTATTGGTTTTAGAGTCAAGAAAGATGCCAGACTGAAGGTGTCATGAAATCTTGTTCCATAGTTTCAGAGAATGTCTGAGTCCAGTAAATGTGTGGTAGAGTCAGAGTCCCTTGCAAGGAGGCCTTGAGAGGCCACTGTGTCAAACTGTGCAGATGAAGCTGTAAATGTGGAGACTGTGTTCCAATGAAAATGCCAAGATACTGGAGAGGCCATGACTGTAGCACACCCACCAAGAGTTACTGTGGGCATGGAGTGGAATCAGACCAACAGAGAACTTACATGAGTTACAGGTTGCATATCTAGAGGGATGGGGCTACCCAAGCCCTTTGGAGCACAACCAGTTTTATCATGTGCCAGATGCTGGACATGGAGCTGCAGAGTTTGATGTTTTCCCTGCTGGATTTTGGTCTCACTTTGATCATTCCTTCCCATACTCTGATTCTTCCACTTTTGAAATGTGGATGTTCATTTTGTGTCATTCTATGTTGGAAATGTACAACTTGTTTTTTTTATTTTATAGGGACTCACAGTTTAGAGATTGCCTTGAGTCTCACATAGACTTTTATAGTTTTGGAATTATTAAAGACAAAGGAAACTTTTGAAGATGGATTGTGCCATATTATGAGATGAACTTGAGACTTTGGGGACAAGGGATGGAAGATTATGATTCAAAGTGATACATTAAGGTGGACCTGAAGAGACTCAGTGATTAAGACAACTTCCTACTTTTCCAGAGGACCTCAATTTAGTTCCCAGCACTCATGTTGGGTGTCTCACAACTGCCTATAACTCCACCTCAAGAGGAATAGACCATCTTTTAGCCTTCACAGGCTCCCATACATCCATAGCATATATTTACACAGAAACACATATATTCATAAATAAAAATAATGAATTTTTAAATGATATGCTTAAAGGACTGGAGAGATTGCTCAGAGATTAAGAGCACTGGTTAGTCTGCTTTTCTAGAGGTCCTGAGTTCCCAGAAACCACATAGTGGCTTTCAATCATCTACAATGGGATCCAATGCCCTGTTCTATTGTGCAAGAATACATGCAGACAAAGAATTCATATACATAAAATACATAAACAAGTAAACCTTTTTAAAGTGATGTATTTGGGTATCAAGTTGACTAGAGTGGAGTTGTGATGGTTAATCTTTATTGCCAACTTAATGAGACATAGAAGTATATGGGAGACTGGCATCTGGGCATGCCAGTGGGGTTAGGTTAATCGAGGTAGTAAGAGCCATACACTGTGGTTGGCACCATTCCCTGAGTTGGGATCCTTAACTATATAAAAAGAAGAAAGTAACACAAACACTTACTACTCTCTGCTTCTTGCCTATAGATGCAATGTGACCAGCTGACCCTATGACTTCCCTTCACTGATGAACTATAACCATGAATTGTAAGCCCCAATAAATCATTTCTTCCTGGGTGGCTTTTGTTAGAGATTTTATTACAACAGAAAGGTAAGATAAGACTGAAGCATGGTTATAAACTCGTTAGAAGGCTATCAAGTGTCTTAAAACCATCTCCAGAGTTAGATAATTTTTCAGTAACCCAAATGGTGGCCAATATGGAAATGTCAGCACATGATGAGATGTTACAGAGCCAAGGCAATAAATAATGAGAGTGCTCAGACTGCTAATTATATGAGCCAAGAAATGTGGCTGAAAGCACTCCGTGTTCTCAATCAGCTGATGACATAGACATTGACGTCATCAGTGCCAAAGGTGAAATCAGTGAATAGCCTCTTCCCCAAAGGGAAACAATGAGACTACAAAAACTGAAAATGTTAGGAATAGCACCAGTTTGAAAACTATCTTGCGTTTCTAGAGCATATGACAGTTAACACATGCTTCCTGGTAGAGTAGCTCATTGGGTTCTCTTTGAGACTGAGAGTTTAACATAGCTGTTGTCATAATGCCACATGGCAAAGTAGGAATTCAAAGCCATGTCTGTAGGCTGTCTTCCCTTACTGCCTTCTAGTGACCATTACTGACTGTAGTTGGAAACTGAGCTCTGACTCAGCACACAGGTGCCCAGGAAAGGGGGGTTTACAGTTGTACTGACTCTATATGATTTGCCAAAGAGAAAGTATCAGCTTAGGATGTTAATAAAAAGAAAGCACCAAGTGCATAGTCAAATAGTATTACACTGCCCCCCTGTGTCTGTCACTTTCTCACACCTTTGCAAACTGACAACCAGAGGCTGGTCTTCATTTATTGGGAGCAACGTCCCTGGCTCTCTTTAGTCACTACCATAAGCTACAAACAGAAATGAGCATCACTACTCATAGAAATGAGTATCTCTAATCTGATGGCCAAATGCCCTTTGACTGTGTGTCTGAAGATGCTGTGAAAAAAAAAAAAACACAAGAGTATACTGCCTACAGCAAAACAAAGAGGTAATGGGTTGGCGAGTAAAAGAACTAGTCTCTGAGAATTCAAAAACGGTACATCTGACCTTACATGCAACTTTAAGCAAATTTCTTTTAGCCAGTTAGTACCAAGGACCACCAATGCTGCCATATGCCACGTTCAGGTAATTAACTGATTAATATGCACAGTATCCGGCTCTGAGTGAAATTGTTATTTTCAATAACTCAAACTGAGTGCCACTAAAATCACAGTCTGAAATTGAAGGGCTATGGACAACAAGCAAGCAAGTACCACAAGTCTCCCATTTTGCATACGGTTAACTTTTGAGTTATAAACAGTTGTGAACAGCTGTAACTTGTGAGTTGTATGCATGCTGTCAGCTCAGATATTCCCCAGTCTTCACTTTCTAGCGGCTGTTCTTATAACCTCACAGATGGATATATGATCATCTGAAAGATCTGCAAATCCTAGCACTCAGCAGGGTGAGACAGGAGGGACCATGCGTTCAAAGTCAGCAATAATCCAAAACACGTACAATTCTGAAAAGTAAGTTTCAAAATGTATATATTCATTATATATATATATATATATATATATATATATATATATATTGTGTGTTTTACTTTGGAGTTAGGTTTATATGCCAATACATTATATACTAATTGCATTTCTTAAAAAGTCTAAAAAAAATACATAGCAAATTGCCAATAAAGTATCTGTCAGGAATCATTAATTAATGGGTTCTTTTTTACTTTTAGTCTATCTAATCATGTCTTAGTTGAAATTTTTATATTGGGTGATTTTTTTAATTAGTACAAAATTAAGTAAGACCAAAATTAACATGCTCCTATTCTATTAACATAAAATCTAACTTGCCAGTTCACAGGGTTATATGCTTAAATATAAAATTGGGTCAAACAAGAAAAAAAAAACTTATGGAAAAAAACTCAATGGCCTGGTTTTAGCCTGTCAATTTTTTTTTTTTTTTTGTCTAGAAAAAAAAAAAAGCCATTCAGTAAGAATTTCTGAATAGCAGGAAGGAGGCATTGCTCTGTATTGTTGACCAAAACGAATAATTTTTGAATGGATAGACTCATCCTATTATATTCAAGTATCTTTTGGGGGGGGCGGAGGTTCGAGATAGGGTTTCTCTGTGGCTTTGGAGACTATCCTAGAACTAGCTCTTGTAGACCAGGCTGGTCTCGAACTCATACAGATCCACCTGCCTCTACCTTCCTAGTGCTGGGATTAAAGGTGTGCGCCACCAATGCCCGGCTTATATTCAAGTATCTATTCCTAGATTCACACCATAATCTGTAGATTAACACCGTGGTTACTTGGTGTCTTGTTTATCCTTGGATTGACACCATAACATTCAGATGCTTATCCCTGGATTTACACAGTAACACTTGAGTGTCATCCATAGTCCAAATTCAAGAATTTATCTTTGGATTCACACTAATATCTTAATGACTGTATCTAGATTCAGACTACAACATCTGTGTCCACGTTGAGAGCATTAATCCCCACATTCACACCATAATAGTTGAACATCTGTCTATATATTCACACCAAAATATTCAAGTGCCTATCCCTAGTTCACACTAAAATATCCAATTGCCTATCACTAGATTTACACTACAATAATTGGAGGGTCAATCCCTATATTCCTAGAGTGTTGCCTTCTTATCTGTTTCTAGGGCTACCTTTGCTAAAGAACCAAGAAGCAAGTCCCTAGCTCAACACCCCTTTCTGGGGCCCCTTTCCTGCCCCAGGGATCCAATTATGGGTAGATCCACAGCCTTCATAAAAGCCTGTGTGCAACCTGCCCCCTTTAGCTGAGATATCTTCTATCCAGGTCACTACTCTTTTCTCAGTAACTCTCAGGGGGAAAAAAAGTCCATTTGAGGAAATATCAAAATGGTGCAATGAAAAGGAGAAATGCATTCAAACTGATCAGAACTGATTAAAGACTTCAATAAAAATATTATAAATTTATAACAAAGGGAAATGCTTACATCCAGACCTCATTCTGCAGTCAATCAAGAACAATGACCAGAAGGAAAAAAATTGAGGCTTCTAAGAAGGAAAATTTAAATTGAGGATTACACATCACATCTAAAAAATAAGGGGTATTAAATATGATTAAAATATATATAAACTATTGTACAATTCAAATGTAATAAATTCAAATGATAATGCCCAGCTTAGCCAAGACATGAGGCACAGGCATGCTCTACTGGGATCCAGTTTGTCCCAGGCTCACAAAGCATAGGTCAGTCTGGGAATTCTACTCTGTAAATATACTAAAAGAGGAATAAATAATAATTTTCATGGTTATGTGAAAGACAAAAAACATAAATAACAATTTGGTAATAATAATACTTTGGAAATAGCTATTAAAAATGACAAACACATTAACTCTGGTAACAAAGTAAAGAAAACCCAAAATACTATATATTCACATTGTTCATACTCTGTAAAGACACACAAGTAGCAGGTGATGGGAATGTATGCTGAGGCGAGAAGGCTATGAACTCGCAGTCAGCCTAAGTGATTCAGTGAGACTTTGCCTCAAAATTAAAGCCATTTTTAAAAAGTCTAGGGTGTAGTGCTTATCTAACATGCATGAGGTCCTGGGTTCAGTCCTCAGGAATACATACACACACATTAATGAAATTCTTTATACCTATCAAAGATGATGGTATAGAGTATACACTAGAAATGATTCAGTCATAAAGAAAACGGAAATCCGTCCCCATTCTTTCATGTCAAAATCCTTCAAAGTAAAATTGTTAAGTTTAGAAGTATGTTTACAGGCATATTACCTGGAGACACTAGCTGTATCAATTCAAACCTGGTTAGGAAACCTAAAAATGAAAAAAACAAAGAAGAAACAAGACATTTTAATAGTTCAGAAAAATTGTCTGTTTCTTAATATATGCTAAAGTAAACTACTGCATCTCATTTACACTATTGATAAAATAATAAAGTTGCCCCCATGTACAGAGTCTTAACTATTTTTTAAGCAACTTCAGACAGACAACAGTTACAAAGTACTCACATCTGTGCTAACATGCACTCTTTTCTCTTTATGCTCTAAACAATGCAGAATAACACCTCTAGGCAGTATATAATACAGAGATAATCTCAATTATGTGGGATATACACACATGCACACATACACATATTCATGCATAGCTACAGGCAAATTCTACATCATTTTAATTATGGCCCTTGAGCACCTATGTACTTTGGTATGTGTGGAAGTCCTGGAACCATTTTTCTAAGGACACCAAAGAACCAAAGAACACATATAATTTAAAATAAGTGTCATGGCAACAATGAAACAGATTTTCATAAAATGAGGGAGTGGAGCAAAGATGAATGAGCTACAAATTTAGCTTTTTACTTCCTAAAAAGTATATAATATTTTGTCTCTTAAATGAAAGATGGCTGTGTCAAGAGAGCATACGGGCCCTTTCTTCATCTGCCCTGCTCAGGGACACCTGAGGCCAAGGGGCCCCTCACAGCGGATCCCAATTTGGTGGGATCCAACACACCCAGAGACTGCCAAGGCCCCCGGTACCAGTCCTGCCTCCATCCACGAGAAGAGGAGAGACATCGGAGTATTGGATCTGTTTGCCCCTACCAGAAGGGAACCTTGGCTGTACCCACCAGGAGAGGAACAGACTCCTTCTACACCCACCAGAAGAAAGGATGAGAAGAAGACAATATAAAAACACATTCAACAACAGAAAAACCAATATGACACCACCAGAGTCTAGGGACCTTACACCAGCAAAACCTGAACATCACCACGCAGATGAAGCAGAAGAGAATGACCTTAAAAACATCTTCATGAGCCCTCCGCCAGACTGACCCCTACCAAGATGAGTGTACCCTCTGCTCTTGCCTACTCCTGCCCAAAATCCCATTCACCCCAGATCTCTCTGGGCCTGTGTCTGCTTGGAGTGGACACGCCCAGCCAGGGAGGAGCTCCCTGAGCCTGGAAATACCTCACTCTTCCTTCCCCCTCCTCTGGTCTGACCCCTACCAAGGCCTGACCCCTACCAAGTGAGGAGACTACCAGGAGAGGCAAGACCATCCAGAGCTGCAGACATTGAAGTCTTGGCCCACACACACCACCCAGTGACAAGAGGAGATAGAGAGACCCCACCTGCACCCAGAATCTAGGGACTCCGCACCAGCAAGATCTAAAAAGCCCAACACAGAAGATGCAGAAGAGATGGACCTCAGAAATTATCTTAAGAAGATGATTGAGACCTTTAAAGAGGAAGCAAGAAAATTCCTTAAAGAAATAGAAGAAAAACCAAGCAAAAAATTACATGAGGCTGAGCCCTCTGCCTGCCACCGGAGAGAGGGAGAGACCCCACCTGCACTCACTGGAAGAAGGGATGGGAAGAAGACAGAATAAGAACACACTCAACATCAGAAAGACCAATATGACACCACCAGAATCTAGGGACTCCACACTAGCAAGATCTGAAAAGCCCAACACAGAGGATAAAGAAAAGATGGACCTCAAAAATTATCTTAGGAAGATCATTTTTTAGAGGAAACAAGAAAATCCATTAAAGAAATAGAAGAAAAAACAAGCAAAAAGTTACATGAAATGGAGGAAAAGACAAACCAAAAAATTCAAGAAGTAAACAACTTTCTTAAAGAATCTAAAGAAAGCCAAGAAAAAAATAACCAAACAAGTGAAGGAAGCTCTTGAAACAGTTCAAGCTAAGAAAGCTGAAATAGACACAATAAACAAAATGAGGCGATGCTGGAAATAGAAAGGCTGGATAAAGGATCAGGAACTAAAGATGTGAGTATAACCAATAGAATTCAAGAGATGGAAAAGAGAATCTCAGTTGTTGAAGATTCGCTAGAGGATATACAGTCATGACCAAAGAAAATCTCAAGTCCAACAAATGCCTAACAAAATATCCAGGAAATATGGGACACCGTGAAAAGGCCAAACCTAAGAATAATAGGTATAGAAGAAGGTGAAAAAATAGAGCTCAAAGGTACAGAACACATATTCAATAAAATCATAGAAGCAAACTTCCCCCAGCCTACAGAAGGATATGCCTATGAAAGTACAAGAAGCTTACAGAACAACAAACAGACTGGACCACAAAAAAGAAGTCCCCTCACCACATAATAATCAAAACAACAAACCTACAGAATAAAGAGAAAATATTAAGAGCATCAAAGGAAAAGGGCCAAGTAACATATAAAGGCAGACGTATCAGAATCACAACTGAATTCTCAATGGAAACTTTGAAAGCCAGAAGGTCCTGGATAGATATTCTACAAACACTAAGGGAGCATGGATGCCAACCCAGATTACTGTACCCAGCAAAGCTTTCAATCACTATAGATGGAGAAAACAACATATTCCATGACAAAACCAGACTTAAACAATACATATCCACAAAACCAGCACTACAGAAAGTTCCAGAAGAAAAACTCCAACCCAACAAAGATAACTACACGCGCAAAAACATAGGCAATAGATAATCCAATTTTACCAAACACGAAAAGAAACACGAGGGCAAAATACACACACAATGATACCACCAACAATGAATCCAAAACAAACAAGAACCTAATATCCCTCAATGTCAATGTTCTTAACCTGCCCATAAAAAGATACAGGCTAACAGAATGGATACAAAGACAGAAGCCATCCTTCTGCTGTATACAAGAAACACACCTCAACTTCAAAGACAGGTGTTACCTCAGAGTAAAGGGTTGGGAAAAGATTTTCCAATCAAATGGGCCCAAGAAACAAGCTGGTGTAGCAATCCTAACACCTAACAAATTAGACTTCAAACTAAAATCAATCAAATAAGATGAAGAAGGGCATTTCATACTCATCACAGGAGAAATCCACCAGGATGAAGTCTCAATCCTGAACATCTATGCCCCAAATACAAAGGCACCCTCATTTGCAAAAGAAACATTACTAAAGCTCAAACCACGCATAAAACCACACACACTTATAGTAGGAGACTTAAACACCCCACTTTCACCACCAGACAGGATCACCAGACAGAAACTTAACAAAGAAACAAAGGATCTAACAGAAGTTATGACCCAACTGGGTTTAACAGGTATCTATAAAACATTCCATCCAAACACAAAAGAATATACCTTCTTCTCAGCACCACATGGCACCTTCTCTAAAATTGACCACATAGTTGGCAATAAAGCAAACCTCCACAGATACAAAAGAATTGAAACAACCCCCTGTATCTTATCAGATCACCATGCTTTAAAGTTAGAATTCGACAGCAATACAAATAGCAGAAAACCTACAAACTCGTGGAAATTGAATAGCCCCCAATTGCACCATTCCTGGGTTGAGGAAGAAATAAAAAAAAAGAAAGAAATTAAAGACTTCCTAGAATTTAATGAAAATGTGGACACTCTGAAAGCAGTGCTAAGAGGAAAGTTCATAGCACTAAGTGCCCACATGAAGAAACTGGAGAAGAGTCATCCTAGAGAATTGACAGAACAACTGAAAGCTTTAGAGCACAAAGAAGCAAACTCACCACGTAGGAGTAGATGCCAGGAAATAATCAAACTGAGGGCTGAAATCAATAAAGTAGAAACTAGGAAAACATTACATAGAATCAATGAAACAAAGAGTTGGTTCTTTGAGAAGACCAACAAGATAGACAAACCTCTATCCAAACTAACCAAAAGGCAGAGAGAGAGCATGCTAATTAACAAAATCAGAAACGAAAAGGGGGATATAACAACGGACACTGAGGAAATCCAGAGAATCATCAGGTCATACTTTGAAAACCTGTACTCCACAAAATTCGAAAATCTAAAGGAAATGAACAATTTCCTGGATAGATATCACTTACCAAAATTAAACCAAGAACAGATAAGCAATTTAAATCGACCTATAATCCCTAATGAAATAGAAGCAGTCATTAAAAGCCTCCCAACCAAAACAAGCCCAGGGCCAGATGGCTTCACTGCAGAATTCTACCAGAAGTTCAAACAAGAGCTAATACAAGTACTCCTCAAATTGTTCCACACAATAGAAGCAGAAGGGACATTGCCAAACTCTTTTTACGAGGCTACAATCACTTTGATACCCAAACCACACAAAGATACAACTAAAAAAGAGAACTACAGACCAATATCCCTCATGAACATTGATGCAAAAATACTCAACAAAATATTGGCAAATCGAACCCAAGAACACATCAGAAAAATCATCCAGTATGATCAAGTAAGTTTCATCCCAGGGACGCAAGGATGGTTCAACATACGAAAATCCATCAATGTAATCCACCATATAAACAAACTGAAAAAGAAAAACCACATGATCATCTCACTAAATGCTGAAAAGCCTTTGACAAAATCCAACATCGCTTCCTGATAAAGATATTGGAGAGAACAGGAATAACAGGAACATACCCCTCAACATAATAAAAGCAATATACAGGAGGGATGAGGAGGACATGAGGGATTAGGAAGGTTGAGTTGGGGGAAGAATTGAAGAAAACAAGATAAGAGATAACGTAATAGAGACATTGTAGGTTTAAAGAGAAATCAGGCACTAGGGAAATGTCTGGAGAGCTACAAAGATGACACCAAATAACAATCTAAGCAACAGAGGAGAGGCTACCTCAAATGCCCCCCCCATAATGAGATTGATGACTAACTTATATGTCATCCTATAGCCTTCATCCAGCAGCTTATGGAAGTAGAAGCAGACACCCATAAATAAACACTGAACTGAACTGGAATCCAGTTGCAGAGGAGGAGGAGTGATAAGACCAGGCTGGTGAAACCCACAGAAACAGCTGATCTGAACAAGGGAGAGCTCTTGGTCCACAGACTGATAGCTGGGAAACCAGCATGGGACTGATCCAGACTCCATGAACGTAGGTGTCACAGAGGAGACTTTAGAAATCTATTGGGCCCTTTGTAGTAGATCAGTACTTATCCCTAGTATAGGAATGGACTTTGGGAGCCCATCCCACATAGAGAGATACTCCCTGAGCCTAGACACTTGGGGGTGGGCCTAGTCCCTATCCCAAAGGATATGACAGACTCTGAAGACTCTCTATGGAAGGCCTCATCCTCCCTAGGGAGCAGAAAGAGTATGGGATAGGTAGGGTGTTAGGGGGGGCAGGGGAGGAGGGGAGGGAGAGGGAACTGTGATTGACATGTAAAACCATCTTGTTTCTAATTCAAATTAAAAAATGGAGAAAAAAAGAGAGAGAGCACAGCTCTTGCAAAGGACCCAAGTTCTATTCCCAGCACCTGTGTCAGGCAGCTAAGAACTGCCTGTAACTCCAGCTCTGGAGTATATAATCCCCTCTCTTGCTTTTCTGGGCACTTGTGTATACACGTAGCACACAGACACACATAAATAAAAGCATGTATATTCATAGAGCACTAAAATAACATCATATTATGTTATCCATTAATGCAAAACTTTAGCTTGCCTAAAAAGCATGCTGTATGGCTATACATGTGTTATAAAATGTATCTTACTATGTTCCTTGAGATTAAAGTAGTTTTAAAGAGGTTATTATATCTATAAAGACAAGACTAAAATTTAAATCTTGGACCAGGAGGGGTGATTCGCAGGTTAAAGTGTATGTTACTTAAGCCTGATGATTTTAGTTAAATTCCCAGAACCCACAGAAGCAGCAGATAACCAACCTCTAAAGTTATCCTTTGAGTTTTATATATGCACCCACACTCACATGTCATATGTGCAAGCACATGCTCATGGGCAGGCACACACACACACACACACACACACACACACACACACACGCGCGCACACACACACACACACACACACGCACGCACGTGCGTGTACACACACACACACACACACACACACACACACTGGTGTGCACATACTCACACATGCATCACCACATATAATAAGCTTTGAAATACTGGGCGGGGGCGGAGAGAACCTGGAAGATGAACAAACCACCCATGTTTACATGGATTGCCAGAATATAATGAAAATGACTATAACAAAATGTGATCTACAGATTCAGCTCAATTGCCATCAAAATTTCAGTGGCATTCTTCACAGAAATATTCAAATGGAAGCCACACACACAAGATACCTAAAGTGCATTAGGATGGGAGGGAGGAGACCCACATGCCTGCCCGGGGGAGGGGGGGCTGCCTGGGGGAGAGAGGAGAAATTATTATGGTAAGCAAACATGGTAGGGTATGAGAGAGACAGAGAGAGGGGGCAGAGAGAGAGAGAGAGAGAGAGAGAGAGAGAGAGAGTGGTTCATGTCCTGTGGAAAGAGGCATATCTGAAACAATGAAGGCAGTAAGGAGCAGGCTGAGGTGGGTGGCTGACTTGCCACCCAGAGCCATGGTGATGCCCTGGGATGTTGCCAAGAACCATGTCTGGGTCTGTGGCCCCGCAGCAGCTTTGGGCTGTAGCTCCTGTTACCACCAATCAACAATGGACTGATGAAAAGAAGACACAATAGTGAAAAGATGAAGCACAAACGAACAATATGAGAAAGGGCAGGTGTGAGGACACACACCTATAACCCAGCACTTAGGAGGTGGAGAGGGAATCAGGAGTCAAGGTCATCCTCGACTGTATAGTGAGTCTGAGGCCAGCCTGGCTTATAGGAGACCTAGTTTCAAAAAAAAAATGGAAAAAATGTTCAACATCCTTAGGCATAAAGAGAACACAAATTAAAACTACATGAAGAGTTAATCTCACTCCAATCAAATTAATTATTAAGAAAATAACAAATGTTGGTAAGAATCTGGGAAGGGAGGGAAGGAAAGGGGAGGGGAGGGGAGGAAAGGGAAGGGAAGGGAGGGAAGGGAAGAGAAGGGAAAGGAAGGGAAGGGAAGGGAGGGGAGAGGGGGGAGGGGAGGGAGGGAAAGGTAGGGGAGGAGAGGGAAGGGAAGGGAAGTGAAAAAGGAAAAGGAAGGGAAGTGAGGGGGAAAGGAGGGGAGGGGAGAAGAGGGAAGAGAAGGGAATGGAGGGAAGGGAAAGGAGGGAAGGGGAGGGAAGGGGAGGGAAAGAAAGGGGAAGAAAGGGAAAAAGGGAAGGCAAGGGAAGGGATAAAGGAAAAGGAAAGGGGACTGTTACACACTGCTGGTGGGAATGTGAATTAATCCACTTGGTATAGAGATTGCTCAGGAAGAAAAAAAAAGACCCTAAAAACTGGAAGTATCATGCAACACAGATAAAGTGCTTCTTGGTATATACCCAGAGAACTCAAGACAACATACCACCAGGATCGATACTCATGGTTATTGCAGCACTATGTGCAACAGCTGAGCTTTAGAATCAGCCTGGCTGGCCATCAACGGATGAATAAAGAAAACGGTCCATACACAACAGAGATTTGTTCATGCCATCTTGGTTACATTGCTATTGTTGTGATAAGACACCATGACCAAGGCAACTTGTAAAAGAAAATGTTGAATTTGTGGCTCACGGTCACAGAGGGTTAGAGTCTATAAGCCATTGTGGCAGGAAGCATGGCAACAGGCAGGCAGGCATGGTAGTGAGCAGTAGCTGGGAGCTCACATCTTGAGCCGTAAGCAGGAGGCAGAGGAAGAAATACTGGACCTCAAAGCCCTTAACAGCGGCACATCCCATCACATCTCTTGATCCTTTCCAAGTAGTTCCACCAACTGGGAGCAAGTATTCAACATATAAGCCTATGGCACTGTTCCCATTCAAACCATCTCACAGACAAAGAAGAATACATGCACATTACTAGCAGTAGAAAATAGATGTAACTGTATGTAGATCACCACATAAAGTGAAAGAGAGACACAGGCAAATGTTAGGAATTTTCTCTCATTTGAAAGTCTTGGGATTCTTTAGAAGGAATACTTTTAACTCGGTTTTAGAGAAACGCAATCCAATTAAAAAGTAGGAAGAAAGTATGAATAGACATTTCTTCAAAGTACATGTAACACCATTAGCTATTAGAGACATGCAAAAACAATGGCAAGCACTGCAAACCCACAGGCCTCAACCAATCAAAATGACAGCAAGAAAATATTAGCCAAAACAGCGGAGAAAGAATGAACCCTCCAAACACTGCTGGTTCATTATGAAGTGGTTCAGCTGCTTTGGTAAGTAGTGTAAGAGACTTTAAAGGTTACTAAACATACTGTGAGTTACTATATGATCCACTTATATGAATGTGTTTGTATGTATGTGTATATGTGCCCGTGCATGTGTATGTCCAAGAGAGTTGAGAACACATTTCCATACAAAAACTTATACACAAATATTCACAACATCATTATTCACCATAGTCTAAAAAGCATAAGCAAACCAAATGTCCATTAATTGATGACTAGAAAAGCAAAATGTGGTAAATTCATATGCCAGAATGTTAAAGAATGAGGTACTGACAAATTCTGTAATATAATGAACTTGATGCTAATTGGAAGAAGCCAATCATAGAGGACCACATGCCACACACACTCCATGTGAGATACTAGAATAAGCGGATATCTGCTCACTGGGAATGGTGGAACATTCCTGTAACCCCAGCACTCAGGAGACAGAGAAAGGAGTGTGAGGCCAGCCTGGGCTCTGGGGTGGAGAAATTGACATTTGCATTTGATCGGACAGTAATAGATGCATAAGAAGTTAACCACTAACAGATGAAGTGTTTCTTTTTGTGGCACTGAAAATGTTCTAATTGATCAAATGATCTAATTGATTGCTGTGACAGAATCCACTTTATGTTTATAATAACCAAACAGAATCGTATCATCCAGAAAAAAACATTATAATATAAAATTTTGAGAGTTTTTGTTTTGTTTTGTTTTGTTTTGGGTGGTTTTAGAGACAATGTTTCATGTGGCCAGGCTATCCTCAAGCTAGATATATTATCAAACTTAAACTTGAAGTTTTGGTCCTCTTGCCTCTAACTTCCAAGTTAGAGGTTAGAGTCATGTGCCACCACATCTGGTTTCATTGAGAAAAAACGTTGATAACAATTTAAAAAGTGACTTGAGGTAGGTGTGATGGGTGGCGAGATTGAGTGGGCAAAGAAGCCCAAGGACCTGAGTTCCATCTCAAGAACTCATGATGGAAGGAGGCAATCAACTCACCATTGTCCTCTAATTGTCTCAAGCACACACAGCACACTCGCACCTATATTCTCACATACACATACACACACACACACACACACACACACACACACACAATAATAATAATAATAATAATAAAATTTAAAGATTGCTGTGATGACATATGTCTATAATCCCAATACTTTGGAATAATGGGGGCAGGTGGAAGTTCAAGGCCAGCCTAGATGACACAGCAAGATTATTTTTCTAAAACCCAAACAAACAACAAATAAATCATGAACCAAATTTCACCCTAGAATTTCCCTAAATTTGAATATTAATGAAACATAAATATCATACTTCAGAAGCATCAGAATTCTGTACCTATGAATTATATATGAGTCTTTTTTTTCTCTTAAGTACCTACTTTCTAAAATTTCTGCAACAGCTCCGGGATCGATTGCATTTTCAAATTTCTATAGAGAAAATCAAGGAAAAGAAATTTTCAAGGTTTTTAGTAAAAGGTATTCCTAAAAATTGTAGTTTATGTTCTTTCAAGTAATTAGCATATAGAACATCAAGCCATACAATATTTTAGGGTTCAACAGGAACATTTTTAAGATGTGTGTGGTGAAAGTACAACAAAAAGCACAGAAGAATTAAAGTTATCAGAATAATAAGTGCAAAATAAGTTGAGTTAGCTAAATCTATCACATGCTTAAAATGCCATCAGTTTGACCTACTGTACCAGCAAACACATTTTGCATCAACCTGAGTCTTGAGTACACAGAAAAGCATTCTGCATACAGCAGTTACTCATCAAGTGTTAGCTAGATGACCTCTCTGCCCACTCAATCGGTTATGCTAAACAGGAAGACAAACAGAAATTTTAACCATATGTAACATCAAAGACAAGTAGTGGCAGGGTGAGGAGGAAACTCTACCATCAACTACAGAGAAACATTACTATTTCACCTTAAATGCTGTCAGATCTGCATACTTTGTGCTTAAAATAACAGATTCTGAGGCAGCACTGAAACAGAACAGGCCTCCAGGGACCTTATGAAAAAAAAAAAAAGATTTTCAGTAGTTTTCAGCAATACCTTTAGCCTTTAAACTTCTGACTTAAATGATGTTTAAAGGTAAGCATGGATAAAATTCTGCTTGAGGTTTCAAAGCCAGTTTTCTTTTAAGGGCAAAAATGGACACTGCTTTGCTGCTTACATTTATTAAGTAAATGTGGATAACATGGGTTTTTTTTTTTTTGCCTAAACTATTTAAGTAGCTACATCCTTCCATTTCACACTATTATCAGTTGAATTGTGTACCTGTCAGAATCACAGGTTGGCATCTAACCCCAGTATCTCAGGGTCAATATAGATATGCTTAGTTAAAATTTGAATGAAGTCATACTGGAGTAGATTGGGCATCTAACACATGGTTGATGCCTTTTTCATTTAAGTTAGTATTTGAGCACAAAAAAAATCATGTTTTTAAAGTTAAAAATAAACTAAAAAAATTCATGAATGTACTTGAGCAGGAAAAATTCATGAACCAGACAGAGCTCAGAAGGAGCCCCTGTTATAAACTGGGCAGAGAGTTTTCTACTCTGACATGCCAAGCAGAGAAAGCAAATGTAGTTGATTGGTCAGAGTGGGCAGGCCAAGCACAGATCACCTGACACTTCTCATCCAGGAAGTCTCTGCCTCACACAAATCTTCCTTTGACTTAAACAACTAGAGCCTCTCTTGTCTAATGCTCAGAATGTTTTTAACTCCATGCACTATAAAGAACAAAGGTTACATGGTGAATATTGGGGTGAGGTGCTCTAAATCAGTAAAGCATCCATCCCCCCTGCCTTGAGAAGTACCAAGGTTCCAACAGCATTCCACTGTCTTCCAGCTCTCAGTACTGTAACAGTAAGTTGGCTGTCTGTGGGTTACTTCTGTATGCCACCTCTAAGAGCCCAATATATCCCATGAAAGGGTTTCCTTATATGTGATCTAGGGAGCAGTCAGCTTGGTCTATTCAAATACAATGGCTTATGAATTCTTTTGAAGAATTTGTTTATCCAGATGCTTTCAAGTATTCAAAACTGAGTCATGCAAACAGGCTGTGGGGGAAGAAAATGCTTTTGCTACTTGCTATAAGTATTTTGGGCTAAAGAACGGGACGATTGCAAGAAACGTGGAACTAGGAGAAACTAGAATGTAAGCCTAAACAACTCAGTTTTAGAAAAAGAAAAAAATGGTATACTCAACTAGTAATCTCAAACCAACAGTGTTTCTACACAGCAGTAGGGAAACATCTAAAGTTTGAGTCTCAGACATTCTCCTTTTAAAAAACAAAGGAGGTTAGACTAGGTACGTTCCCAAGGTGGTTGATGGATGTATCATTCTGTGCTTGCACAATTTTGTATCTATGGGCTTCTTACAGATGTATCTTAGAAGTCCTCTACAGGGCTATTGAAACTGATAAATGAAGAAAATGTTGGGAGGAAAAAAGCTACCTACTTTTCATCATACCTATTGCTTGCACATGGCCAGAAGAATCATCTGGGTTTTCAATGTATTTTCTAAGGTAATAACTATTTGCTCTTTTACCCAATCAGTTTGCATATTTTTTAATGAATAGGTTGTAATATTTTTTAAGATCTATTTATTTATTATGTATACAGTGTTCTGCCTTCATGTATGCCTGCAGGCCAGAAGAGGGCACCAGATCTTATTACACATGGTGGTGAGCTACCATGTGGAGGCTGGGAATTGAACTCAGGACCTCTGGAAGAGCTGCCAGCGCTCTTAACCTCTGAGCCATCTCTCCAGCCCCTGGGTTGTAATTTTTTTAATGTTACCATCTTCATCTTTTCTCCCATCCTTGAGTCAAAAGAGACAGGTGGGTTTCTGGGCACCATTTCCCAGACCTTTTGAAAGCAATGTGATGTAGTCTTTCCTCTGCACCAGAGTCCCCTGTCAGTGACACTAGCAAAATCATTAGACTTACGAAAGAGAACTCTGATTTCATCTCCAAATCCAAAACCAAAATAGTTGGTGATTAAAGAGTAATGAAATGGGATGAATATTCTACAGCACGCTGTAGTGGTAAGCCCTGGCTAGTGTTGTGGCCGTATTTTTTTTTTTTTTAAATCATGATTGCATTCATTGGAATGGAATCTAGCCCTTACTACTAGCTACATAACACACTTAAGGTAACTCAGAAAACATGGACGACTTTCTTGTGTTTAGTTACAAGATTTAACTGATTTAGTTATAGTTTTAAATTATTTTTCTGGGTTTGAGAAAGTTTTTTTTCTTAAGGTCTGCAGTTTATTAATAGCCCCTTTCATAAATGTAATGCAACTGTCTCTAACACCTCCAAGAACATTCAGAAACGCTCTCTGCTCCAGTTAGAAAACGCCATGGGAGCTCCAAGAATAGAAAGCACCCACCAGGGTATTTAGCACTCGATTGACAGAACTTGGCTCGGACCTGCAAAGCAAAAGCAAGTCTTCCAGACTATGGTTTTTGCCTCAAGACTCCCTGTACTTTTAAATTATACTGAATTGTCTTAGGGTCAGTTTTTTGTTTTTTTTGTTTGTTTGTTTGTTTGTTGTTTTTTTTTTAAGGAAAAGAATGTACAAAAGCCATTATTTTTTATAGTAACTAAGTATGCTGACTCCAGGCAGCACAACCCACTGAGAAGTCAAGATCACCTTTTCAAATCTCATGCTCTGTTGAATCTCAATAGGGAACATAGAGCGAAAGCAGTCTGTCTCCAGGTACTGATTCAGGAGGTAGACTCCAAGGTACACACTTTCCTTGTCCGGCAGGAACACTCCCGGGCAAGAAATCTTAAAAAGAAGAGGAGGGCAATCAGGGTTTGTTTTTGTGCAGAATGGTTGTTTCTCCTAACCTCCCACAGCCTCTGAAATTACCCCATCACTGCATCCTTCACCCATATTTTCCAACATCGCCACCCTCCCAACTCTCCTCGAGCTGGATATTCCGGTCCCCTCCCACGTCTCCACCAGGTGTCACAATCGTGCTCTGCGGCTCCTCGGCCCGCCCTCCAGGATGGGAGTGCGGAAGCGGA